CCGATCATGTGCAGGGCGCAGGTTGCGGCTTTCCATTCAGTGGAGTGGGGATGTTCTTCCAAAGGTGTTGTGCCCCGGGCACCATGCGTTTGAGGGCACCCAATGACCAAGTTACGACTTGTTTCTGGTTTGAAGGTGAGTCTGGGTCCTCGAAAGTGAGCGTTTGGAGGGGGTCCTCCAAAAACTTTGAGGTGGCTTCCCTTAAAACTATGTCGCCTGTACAGTAAAAGTAGTGTTGGGCAATTTGAGAGAGGTCTTCTAATTGTCCGGGATCTGTCAAGTTTAGAGGCAAAATTTGGGGATTGCCGCTGATTCCTTACTTGATTGATATGTTAATGTGTATCAATGGCCCAGAAGGAGAAGCTTGCATTTCCAGTTCCATTTGGCACGTCAACCGTTGCTCAAGGATATGTTCGACCCAATGGTCAGTTGGGCTGGGTGCTGTTTGCCGCCTCTTTTTGTGTTGGTACGCCCCTTGGTTTTGGGTGGCTATAAATAGGAAAGCCGTTGTTTTTGTTGGGGTCCTCTACAAGACACGTATAAAACATCTGAGTTCAGAGCTTTGTCAGTGTGACAACTCCGCCTGTGGACCAACCATTTGAATTGAAGGTTGGTAGCGGATGTGTGGATTTGGCTTGTTTCAGCTCATGAGGCTTTTGCAAGGGGAAAGCGCCAGTGGTCCAAGGCGAAGCACCCCAAATGACTTTGGTTCAACATTTGTACTATTCGTGTCATGGCCCGACCAACTTGGAATGCCCAGCCCATTTCCCCCTGGCTATTTTTGCTCGTCAGGTCAGATGCTCCATTTCTTAGGGAGCTTCCCCACGAGACAGCTTGACATGTTTGAGGCCTCGGGCAACCCGGACGGGTTTAGGGGTTCCCTTCAAAATCAGCCACCGAAAAGACGAGTCTGATTTCTCCATGGTCACTGGGATATGGTAAGGTGGAGCAAGCCTATTTGGGCATCTCCTTGGCCGTGTCCGGGTTCTTGGCCTGCGCCTTCAATATCCTCAGCTCCTCGTCCACAGGGTGGGCGGGGGCGCAACTGGCAGTTTGGCCCCTGGGCCCTTTCCGGATGCCCAGTTATAGTCCGAAGCCAGAGGCACAAAAACTGGAGGTGAGTTGTTTCCGCGGCAGTCCCTTCCAAGCTGCCCGTTTGCAAAACTGGGGCGGGTTGCTTACGGGTTGAGATGTTCAAGTTGAAAATTTCTCACTGCTGTGTCTTACGCCACTCAGCCAAAGAGGTCGCATTGCTTGGGCTGCCAAAGCTGGCCGCACATGTAAGTACCTTGCTTGTAGAAGCGGTTCGCACCGCTGATTCCTAAGGCGCGGCCGGCCGAGGGTTCCGTCACACACTGCTTGCCATAGGTTCTACAGGAGTCCGGGGCCGTGAGCATGAGGCGCGTGATCTGCCAAGCTCAGGGGCACTCTGAGACAGCAAGTTGACTCCAACCACAAAGGGGCCCCAAACTGAGAAAGTGTGGCTGGCTTGCTCTTGAGAACGAGCAAGTGAGCAGATGGCAGCTTGACCGCACAGCAAGCAAGTGAGCAGATGGACGGCTTCCAATACCCTACGGGCAACCAAGGGGAGGGTCAAGTTGAAGTTCTATTTCCCGCCTGGCACGGGGGAGAATGTTCGGGACCGGTCACCCGGCACGTCGCAACACGCACGATTCCGCCTTATGAGAGCGTACAGGGTCGCCCAAAAGGGAGCCTCCGGCCAGGCCTTGGCAAGCCTGTGAGCCAAGCCTTATTAAGGCTTGGTACGCCATATTTCAGAGAAGGGTGGCCCATCGGTTTCATCAGGTGGAGATGGGGGGGGATGGCTTCCTGGCCTCACATCCCCGCCAAAAGTTTCACGTTTAGTGGGTTAAATGGAAATCCCCACTAAGCACTAAGAAGCTAAGAACCTCAGGGGATGGCTGGGAACCGAAATCCAAGGCTCATGGCCGTACGGAAACGATTTCTCCATTTCGCACCATTCAAGAAACCCAGGGGAAGGAGTGGATCCCCATGGAATAAACATTCCAACAAGCAATGATTTCAATCATGATGTTAAAGTGGTGCAGGATTTCGTCCACAGTATTAACCCCTTAGGGCTCCTAGGCTTATCCTAGACCCGCCTGCGCGGCGGGTCCCTGGGTCCCTCCGCGCCAGCCAGCCCTCCGAGGCTACCTAACCATCAAACACCTCAGCCCCGTGGGCGCCACGGTCATCGCCAACGCCAAGACGCCGGCGACCATCGTGGCCTCACTGCTTCTTGATTTGCACGAAGTGAGGGGCTTCTAGCTGATCTGACTGTGGGTCAAAAATATGTGCCCAAAATGGCTTGCCCTGGTAAGTGGAAACATGGACCAAAACCTGCGGTCCCTTGGTGGTTTGATTTTGAACCATACCCATCTCAGGGTCGGGACATTTTGGCAAACCAGGTGTAGCCCCTACTTCAGGGTCGGCATGTTGACAAAAAGTCAGGTTCTGCCCAATAGTCATTGCTCTTCATCCATTCCAGCTGGTGCGACGTGTTCTGTGGAAATTTGCAGGGGGAACGGTTGTTGCTATGTTGCGGGACATGATAGGGATTCCGGATGTTGACCCCCAGGAATGCCCCCCCCCCCCCCCCCGTAGAACTTTCTTGTTTGTGGGATGACCCTCTCCCAAAGGATCTCTTCATCAAATTGGCCTCACTAGAGGGCCCTGCAAATATGTTGGTAAAACCATCCAGGGGTCAGATCTGGTCCCCTTCAAGGGTTTAGTATTGGTGTGAGTTTTACTTTGTGGAACTGGGTCGGGCCTATTTTTATTGTGGAACTGGGTCAGCCTTGTTACCTTACATTTGCTATTTGTTTCGGTCTTCAGGGTGTTGTGGCGTAAGTGGTCACGGTTTCGTGTTGGTCCGCAATTGGATGGTTGGACCTTGCGGTGTCCAGAGTCGGGATGAAGGAAACGTAGGGAAACCAGTGGGGGTCTCCCGGGGAGTTGGTTGCTTTACTCGTTGATCGGCGACAGCTGTCTTGCGATGTTTTTTTGCCTTTGCCGGAAGAAATTATGGCAGATCAACTCCCATATGCATGTACATTTACTTCTCTCTCTCTCTCTCTCTGTATACATATTTATTAATACATAGCTCGCACACACACACACACAAGTATATGTATATATATATAATACATGTACACATGCATGCCTATGTATTGTTCACCGGCCTTGCCTAGGTTCATTTTCGCCAACCCGGTGGCCCCCGCCCAAGTGCTGGGATTTGGAGTGACCTTCTTTGGCATCTTTCTGCACAGTCAGAAGGGCCGCACCCTGAGAGAGACCCCGGACATCTAGCGGGCTCCGAGCCAGCGCGCGTCTGGGCGCAGCTTTGGGTCAGAGAACCCAATGGGCCCTTGGGTTCCATTGGGCGCCCTTCACCCTCGCACGGAATTTCGGGGACTTGTTGGGTTACCACCTATTTACCTTGTGTATTACTTGACCCTGACAGGGGTGAAGGGGCGCCACACGGGCACCACAATGAGCACCTTGCACGGACGAAAGGCGCGGCCATCCTACCAAGCGCAAGCGCGTTGAATAGATATCGGTTTGGGGGATGCGAGCCCATATGGGAGCCCGTCTTAGCCCGTCTTGGTTTGAACTCCGGGACTTGCGCTGGGTTTCCTCATTTGCCCTGGCCAGACGACCGCCAGGCGCGTGGTCAGAATGTTTGAACACCCAGGCCGAGGAATCTAGCCACGTTGCATGCCAAGCTTTTGGGCGAACAGTGTGATGCGCTTCGGCTTGGTCGGCCATCTGCTGCTTCAGAGCCATAGCAAGGTGAGCCCGTTTCAACCTACCAGTGGCAATGCATAAGAGAGAGGTGCCAAACAGGCCCCTGAAAGGCCATCCTTGCTCTGGCTCTGAACCAGTGGGCACATTCTCCTCGCATTGGTCGCGTTTCGGTGGCCCAGCTGCAAGGGCCATGAGCTTTTGACCCAATCCAGGCGAACGCTTGGCAGAGTCGGGCATGTTCTCAGATTGCCCCGCCATCGCGAAACTAGCGATGGTTGGTAGCCGCAGGGAACGACCTTGACATGCCAAGTCAACCAGGAAGCCAGGAAAGCACGTGATTCGACTGAATCATGGCCTCAAGTTGGTCATCAAGAAGCTGCAAGTCACCAGGGAAGGAAGAGACATCAAAATGGACTCCTGTCGGCATGTCAATGGCCTACACTCGATTGGTAGCTCGCACTGAGCCTGCCGAGAGCAAGCAGAGAATTCTAGCAACTCAGACAAGGGAAAAGAAGGAGGTTGCAGGGTTTGTGTTGAAACGTGTTTCAGATCTTGAGGCTTTGCCAAACGAGTTGTTTTCTAATTGGCTCGAATTCAGCGTTTCTATTTGGATGTTGCCCTGGCAGCAGCCCGTGGGCAAACGTGTTGAGGTTCATGCGCGGTTTGGCCTTTGGCTTCGTGTAAAGGAGTCGGATTGGACTGGCCCCGAAGGGGAACCCCAGCTTTTCCCTTTCCCTGTCAACAAAATGGGCTCAATAGACCCCGGAGCTGTCTGAACGAGTTGCGCCGGTAAATGTAATCATTTGCACTAGCCAACGTGTATCCTACTTTTCTGCATGTTATTCCGACAGTTGCTGGCTAGCAGGGCCAGCCCTTCAGGTCATCCAGTGTTCGCTGGTAGCCTGCTTAGCCTTGGTGGTTGCTAGGGGGTGCTGCCGAGAAACTGTTCACTAATGTTCCCTGAGGCGGGTTGCAGGTTGGTTTGTGGGGGGGGGGTCCTGCCAGTGGTGATGCCGATGGCGGGTTTTGAGGGCCAGTTTTGACTCGCCGTGAGCCTTCTCCATTCCACAGAGGCAAAATGGACACCGACCATTATTTTTGTTTTAAATAGAAACCTTGGGTCGTTGTTCTTTTCTATATAAACCCAACCCAATGGCTTGTATCAAAGTGCATTTGAAGTCCCAATTTCAGACCGGTTGCTTTCAACGCCCTGCCGCTTCGCTTGGCCCCAGGCGTCGGATGCTGCAGGGGGAGTCTGCGCTCGCCCTGCTGGCCTCGTAGCCCAGCAGCTTCCGGGGGAATGGGTCAGAAGGCATGGCCCATGCTTGACTCCTATTGGGTTGGATCTTTAGATCTCAACTATTTGGGAAACCAAGGGTTTTCCACCAAACCCCCAAAAAGTTAAACTTTTTGCAGGGGGTCAACAGCAACGAAGCATGATGGTCCGTGGTTGAAGCTTATAGTGTTTAGATATGGCTGCGCGCTTGCCCAGACCTACACGCATATGCATTTATGCAGAAATGGATGCATACACATATATGGTGTATGTAGATGCATGATACATAGATACAGTGACTGCATGCATGCATACAGACACACATACAGACATACATACAGACATAAAGCCGTACATACAGACATACAGACATACGCGCAGACAGACAGACAGACAGACAGACAGACAGGCAGGCAGGCAGGCAGGCAGGCAGGCAGGCAGGCAGGCAGGCAGGCAGGCAGGCAGGCAGGCAGGCAGGCAGGCAGGCATGCATGCATGCATGCATGCATGCATGCATACGTACATATACACGCACACACATACACACATACACACATACACACATACACACATGCACATGCACACATACACATACACATATGCAAACATACAAGCATACAAGCATGCAAACATATAGCCATGCACACACATACAAACGTACATACTTGCACAAAGGATCGTTTTCACATGCAAGCTTTGGACGTGCGTGTATTCTATATAAATTTATAAGTATGCCGTGTATGAATGAGTCATGGTGGCTAGCTTGCTGGGGGGAGGGGACATGGTGCGTAATTACTAAACGCTTCCCTCTTTCCGCCAAGAAAGCGGCGACTACCGATCTGAGCCATTCGTACCTATATTATGCCTCTTGCTGGTGTTCGAAGTATGCGTCGCCAGCCTAAAGTATGCCCTCCCTAACTGGTGACATACTCATAGCGCAGGAGCCATCATGTTTGAGAAGTGTAGCCGCCTCTAGGCAACACTGTTAAACCTTGCGGAATCACCGACTACCCAGGATGTGGGTTAGCTTGCTTCATTTGAGTGGTAGCTCGGAGATTCTGCAATCGCGATGCAACCTGTGGAGTTCCGGTGGCGCACAAGACACACAGCCCGTTTATTCAAGTGATGAACACAGTTCCGTCTAACAGGAAGGCTTCGTCTCAGGCCCTGCTGAATTCTCAATTGACCACGGCTTGCACAACTCAAAGATTATTGAGGCTCTTTTGTTGGGTGCCCTTCTTTATGGAGGTGGGCAAGCTGCGAAATAGAACCTTCATGAAGCTCGTTGTGCTCCGCGGATCGGAGTAAGCTCGTCAGACTTTTTGGTATGTTGCTCACATGGACACGATGGCCACGATGGCTTGCAAAACCATCCAGCCTTCAAACCCTAACGCCAAGGCATTCATGCCTGCGATGGCACTTCCTTTGGCCAGTCAGAGCTGAAGCGCAGTTTGGGGGCGATGATGCACCCGTTCGAGGCTTCCACGCAATGTTCCAGTGAAGTTGTCAAGCCTGGGGAGAAAACCGCTAACAACACCTCGAATGTCCGGATGCCTCCTGGGGAGCGTGGCAAAGTCTTATCGCCAGAATGGCCGCGGCGAAAAAGCAAAGCCATCCTAGGCTATAAGAAGCCTTGCCCATCCCTGCAGATTTCAGAGGTTTCCGCATAATGTTGACCCCCCCAAAAATCAACCCCAGTTTATTAATAGGGGGGCCCCGACGGGCCCCTCCAAAAGTGGCCTGATTCCTCACTAAACCCATCCCCCTATTAGTCGACGGGTTGAGTAAAACATTGCAAACCAGAGGCTCGTTGGGCTTCCTGGGGCTTTGTTGGGCCGCGTTTGCGGCATGTCGAGGCGTCGCTGGAGCCAAAGCAGCCGTTGCTGCTGCAGGCGTCTTTGGATCCGAGCTGGTTCCATTTTGCTCTAGGTCCTTGAGTGGGTTTGTGTAAGAGGGATATGTTAAAGATACTTCTTGTGAAGAACCCATCAGAATGTGTGGTTTTCAGGTTGGTGTCCCTTTGAACCAACCTGCAAACAGCGTGAACAAACCTCATAGGGCCCATAGTAATAGAATGGGGCTGTGGGGTGCTAGACTAGATTGCCTCTTCTTGGGAGGGTCATGTTTGTAATTGTCTAGCCCCTATTAGTTACTCAGTTGCTCAAAGCCGACCTTTTGACCTTTTGGTTGTCCCTTTTTGGTCTATTTTTAGTAGAGGTCCCAAAAGGTGATCACCTTTTATTTGCAGGTCCTTTGGGCAATTGGAGCTTCACAGTTGGCTCTGAGACTTGTGTGTTGGTTGCTTCTTGCAACTCCCATGTTCTAAAGAGAGGGGTGCAGTTGTTGATGCCAGTTTCCGAAAAACAGGTCCGTCTTTCAAAACGTGGCCTCTGGAGGTCAAGGTGTCTAGGTCAAGAGTCAAGATCAAGCGTCATTTTGGGGTGTCCTCTAAAAGTGTACGTTGTAGAAAATTATCGGGCGGAGTTAAGGTTCCATGCAATCTGCTAGAAATGTGGCAGGGATATGGAGGAAGTGAATCAGCATGGCGGGTTTTTACCATACCGTCCGCTACTGTTCTGCATAATTTGGGGGGTTCCCCGTTAATGCCCACTCGCATGAGTTGTGCTTTCCTAAATGAGGCAGAAATGCTCCAAACCAGCTGTTAGCCTCGAGATCAACCGCCCAATCCGCCTTTTGTCAGCGAAGCAACTCTCGAAAGGAGTAAACAGGGGTAGAATTAGGATTAGTTTTGATTGCTTGTGACGTACGTGCTTGTGACGGAAAGGCTGCAAGCAAAGCTAGTTCAACGTGTGCATTGTTGAAATGGAGGCTAGCCGTCAATTTGTGCTTACAACGACCTCAAGGGACTTGTGACCACGCCCATGATGAAGGTATTTCATGTTGGTAAATGTTACTGGAGATTCACCCAGAGGCTGGCGCTAGATATTCTTGGTTTCATTTGTGAGGTGGCCGGGGTGAGGACGTGAGCATTTGATCTCTAGACGAACGTTTGCAGGAGCGGCATTTGGCAGAAGCTGTGCAGCAGGAGGCTGTCAGACATGATTTTAGCAGGGGGTTGCTGGGCGGGCTTAAGATGCCATAGTTTTGGCCTACCTGCCAAAGTCATTGACTTTGAGTCAGCACAGTCGCAGCCATTTTCCATATCTTGGGCCTAGAGTTGCTTGCTGTGTTGTTTTATGCTTAGTTAGCTTTTTGTTTTTTTCTTCCGTTGGGTTTCGCACCCGCAAGAATGCTTGACTTTCATAGTGCCGTGCTGCCTTCCGGGGGCTCTCTTTGCTAATTGGGGAATTGCACTGTTGCGGCAAGCGACGGGACACGTCCACACCCCGAATGGTCAGGAAACTGGACAAGCGGCTTGTCTTTGCCAAAAGCTAAAGAACTGCCGCAGCCAGTGTCAAAGCGGACCGCAAAGTCACAACATGGCCAAACCACGTGAGTGTTTGTGGTTGTAACCTGGCCATTTTACCAAGAGAGCGCGTGCACATCACTTGAGGGACTGCAGTCGCGGAAGGTTGGTGGAAGGCTCGCGGAAGGGTATGCCTCGCGCAAGGTTAAAATTTGTGTTATATGATGATACTTAAAAAGGCAAAGCGGTGGCCGCAGAAGCACCGTCTTTGCACGTGGAAGCTCGTGGAAGCGGTTGCGACAGAAACCGCCCGTAGAAGCAACGGTTTTACGCTGCGGAAGCTTCGCGGGCCGATTGGACGGTTGAATAATATCATGTGGAAAGCTAGAGAACCAAAACAAAGCTCAAGTGGCTTCTTGAAACATAGCAGCCCGCTTAGACAAAAATACCCACCGTTCGTTCAGTGGCGCTATGTATGTAGTATGCACCGTTATCCCCTGTTTTGCCAGTTTAGATTGCTGCAAACAACGAGCAACCGCAAACCGTCCGTCACTCTGCATTTCCTGCGCTGGACACCTCCACCCGCCACGGCATAGCCTTTGTTTTTCATAGTCGTTGGGTCATTGGCAGGCCGAAACTGTTAAGTTTCGTTTGCAGCTCACGAATCTCAAACCCAGCTCGAGGGCCAGGTGGTCGTGTCTTCACGCTGGGGTCCTCTCCAAGTAGTTAGGTCATCTCAGTTGTTTTTTGTATAGAGAGCCGCCGCCAGAATCGAGCCCTCGATTTCGCAGATAGCTTAGACTAAGCCCCAGGCTTTGGAAACACAACTTGGCATCATCATCAAGTAGGGGTGCGGAAAAGCAGAGTCCCAACCGAATATAAGGGGCTGAGCTACAACATTGTTTCGTGGTGATGACGTATTTAAATGGGTTGCATGGCAGCTGTCAAGGGGAAGTACATGCCCCTGCCATAAAGGCCCAGAGACGGTGTAGGGCACCTGGGCAGCTGGGTACTTCAACGTGGTTGAGCCCTTGGAAGCCCACAAGCCCTCACTTTGATCCCCCGTTTCTCCAACTTTTCGTTGTTTTTTTCTTTTTCATAAGTTGTTGAGCCCAGAAAAAGGGTTTCACTGCTTGTTCTATTCTTCGGGCCCATGGTTGCAATGTTGCTTTCTCAAGGCAGTGTCAAAGTAGCTAAGGCCCGCTGGTTTGAAAGTCGGGCAAGCGCCAGGTGGACGGGGCAGAGGCAGTGGATGCACCTCGCCGGGGGTGACTGCGCTTGACGGGCCTGTCTTTCATGTTCGTCTTTTTTGGTGTTCAGGGCAAACCCAAAGGAAACCGCTCATTTTGGGGTTAACCCCGTTTGGTGGCTCTGAGCATTATTTGTTGGGACAATTGAACGTGAGGCTAGTTTCGGCGGGGTGAGGGTTCAAGGAGAAATGTAGAAAACCCTGAAAGACAGGTGTGTCTAATAGGGATACGGCGAAGCCATGGACAACTTGGTACATTTTGCTGAATAGACCGTACGTGTTCCTCATATGGACCCCGGGAGAAGGGGCCTCGTTTTTCTGGGAGTTCTCTCTTTAAACAAGAGTGCCCTAAAAATAGAGAGACGCAAAATACTGCGAGCTTCGTTGGCTGTTCCTTGCTGGTTTGGTGGCTCAGCTACCACGGGCTTTGGGATGCAAGAATCTCATAGGCGTGGTTCCCGCAGTTGGCTGCACTGTTTGCATTTGGCGGTTCCCTTTGCCGCCATTTGAGCTTGAAATGGAGCCCCTTTCAGCATCCACCGGTGGCGTGGACCCCCTCATTTCAGCATCCACATCTGGTGGAGCGCATTCGGGCAACGCGTCATTTGGCGGGGTGTGAATCAGCTCTTGCACGTGACAAAACTGCACACGTCGAGTCGGTGAGCTGCAACCGTCCCTCACTTTTTGGTGGTCTTCTTCGGTTGGAGGGTAAAGGGAACCCAACAGGACGCCCCCCTCGTTCCGGCCACTAGGAGATGCGGCTTCTTCATGGTTGTTGTTGGGAAACATTTTTCCCATTTTTGCTTCTTGTGGTTTAGTGGTTGAAATCCCAATCCACTGAACTGCTAAAATTATTTTGTTTGCTCCCCTTTCAACGTCCAAACAAGTTTTGAGCACGTGTTGGTGGGGATGTAGGCAATACCTTGCCATCAGGGAGCTGTGGAATTGGGAGAATCCCGATGCCTCGGCCTGGAAAGCTCTCGCGCGGTTTTTACCCGGGAGGGTCTTGGAACCTGAAATGGGGCCAAGAACCTACGGGGGTCAAGGTCGATCCTCACAAGCTACTTCCCTTCGGGATTGCTCGGATAGCAACGGCCAATCTTCCCGGTGATTCAGTTTTGGGTGCGCGGTGTGCCCCTATTGTCGCAGGTTCGGAAAACAGGCGGTGTGTCAAAACCAATGGTACCATTTTGGTAGGTGAATTCACCACCCATTTTAGAACCGATTTTAGTGGTTGGATTGGGATGTTCACTGAGGGCAACCGGGCTTTTGAGCCGTGGCCATATATGGACAATCGGTATTGGTGCTACTTTGACTGTCGGCTTCCCTGCCGCCGCCAAGGTGCACACCCACCTGTTCCCGACCAGCCAGTGGCACAGGGAAGGGGGCAAGGCCAGAAAGTAGCATGCCTTGCTAGGCTACCCTCCCAAAGAAGGACAGAGAATCGCACGCACCCTATTCTGATTCAGAGCCATGGCAAGTAAAAGTATTGCAGCCTAATAATGCTTCTTAGAGACCGTTACACCATTGAGGGCCATAACGGGCCATAACCTTCAGACGACTACCTTTGTGATGGCTCTATCAACATTGGAACACGCACTGATGACTCGCGACAGTTAGCGATATGGAAGGCCAAGAGCGGGGGGGGGGTGATCAGGCTGCACCCCCGGGCCTGGCTGTCTGGGTTGTGCATACGCAGACGTCCATTCCCAGGGGCTGCACATGACATTTTGGACGGGCTGCATTTTGTTGGAGAACAGGGGGAAGCGACTACAGTCAGAAAATGTTGCCACACCCAGGTTGTTTTACCTGATTGAATCCTGGGGATTGTACTTGGATATGGCTGTTCGGGTTCTTCTTGACATTGCTTGACTGAGACACCACTAAGTCACTAAGCGGTATTCAAACGTTGCCACCATTGCCAGGCCTGGGAGCGCAGGGATGCACGAGCACAGAATCACGGCAATCATGCGCACAAAGACACACACACACACAAAGACACACACAAAGACACACACACACACACACACACACACACACACACACACACACACACACACACACACACACACACACACACACACACAGACACACACACACACACACACACACACACACACACACACACACACACACACACACACACACACACACACACACACACACACACACACACACACACACGCACACGCACACGCACACGCACACACGCACACGCACACGCACACGCACACGCACACGCACACGCACACGCACACGCACACGCACACGCACACGCACACGCACACACGCACACGCACACACACACACACACACACAACACACACACACACACACACACACACACACACACACACACACACACACACACACACACACACACACACACACACACACACACACACACACACACACACACACACACACACACACACACACACACACACACACACACACACACACACACACACACACACACACACACACACACACACACACACACACACACACACACACACACACACCAGACATTCAAAACATACGCACGCCGCGGGGACACAGTCTTAGACGCATTGATATGTACACTTGTACTTCACAATCACACAGTATGCAGGCGTGCATGCGCGCATGCGCGTGCATCATTGTTTGCAACCACACTGGAAGCGCAGCATCATGAGTTCTTTGTTCCATGTCTCATGCGCGTGTCTGCCTCTAATTTTCGACGCGATAGCTACTTGGGATGGCCCGCTCTGCCTCGCATCGAAGATGCGGACGCTAAGGCCATGGCAGCGGGTTGATGCAATACGGCATCGACTCCATGCTGCCGGGTGCTCATGGTTTTCCCCCACTCAATGCGCCCCCCCCCCCACCCCCCCCCCCCCCAAGGTCACAGGAACCTTCTTTGAGGTCTTAAATCTTGATTAATTACCCCTTCCGACTGGTACAATAAAGGTGGCCACCTGTATGCAAGAGCACGGCACGGGGATGTAAGTGTAAGACGACGCGACGACGGGCCCTTGCTTTCCTCCGAGACGGCAATCCTGAGGTTGTGTTGTTTTTTTTTCGCGCCCAGGACCTACCACTACCTGGTGGCCGAGTACATGGCTTCTGCACGCCCGGGCGGCACAGACTTGAAGGAGTTGTCGGTGTTGTTTTGTTTGTTTTGCGATTGGTCGATTTAATTTCTTTTGTGCGAGCAGTAGAAAGCATTAAATCCTTGTCGGCTTGAGCAATGGTGGGCATCTGAAGCGAACGAAAGCTTTCAAGAACTTATCTCCGAAGCGAATCAACCTGAATTCAGCCGCGCGCAACCCGTGTGTGATGACCCGAAATGCTGAAACGCTTGTTTCCAGGACCGCGGGGGTAGGAGACTGTGGTCTTTCAAGGAGGTTTCGGGGTGAGCCGGGAGAAAGTCAGACCATCAAGCAGCGGATGGAACAGACTCATGTTTGCAATTCACCCGGCCATTTCGCCACCCATTTCGCGCTCCAGGCGCTTAGGCTGGCTTCTTTTCTGCCTTTGACCAATCCATTCCTGAACATACCTGGTAATGTTGACCATTATAACCCGTCCCATTATTAGGGGGTGTTCCCTCCAAAAAAGTGATGAATCCCCACTAAAAGGGGACACCCCCCTATGAATCAACCACGAGTTTATTAATCCGGGGTTAACATTATTTTGGGCAGCCTTGTCCTGAAAGCTTCCATGCCAGTGGCATTCAGAGAGAGAATTGGAGTGCTCTCATTTGATGTCAGCAGGCTCAGGGGTGTTGAATGTCCCTAGCTCAGTGGGTGAGAATCTGCAAATATGACATCTAGTGTATTGCATACACATTTGACATACATGTCACATCCTAAACCTAATGGTAATGTGGATTTACATGTGCGTTGCATACGTTTTGGCAAGTATGTGCAATATGATGTAAGCCCCTCAGCCTAAAAGGCGCCACTTTCAATGGAAGCCAGGGCCGCCACTTCCCTGAGAGGTTTTCAAGGATGGCTTGCACTCCGGAAGCCGCAATTCATCAGGCGGCCTAGGATGGTGCCATGTCACAAGGGTTAACAAGTGTCATTCCCTCATTCCCCGCTGAGCACCAGCAAGGTCTTTTTTTTGACGTCGCGGATTTCTGGGTAAGTGTTTCTCGGCACCTGCGGCGGGGTGTGTTGGGAATTGCTTGGAATCAAGCGATCGCGCGTTTCCAGCGACGGAAATGTGGCCTGTTGGCCAGCTGGGAGCTGTCGACTTCCGCGGCCCCAGGCTCCCAAGTGGCAAAAGGACGCCCTGTTCGTTCGAGCCTTTCTTTTGGCCCAGCCATTTGCTTGGAACACTCGGGCCAAAGGGAGAGACTCGAGGCGAGGCCCCGGAAGAGTTCTACGCGCTGCGCCAGCCCTGGAGCTTCATTCGGCAGCCCCTGTTCGGCTGTGTGCGTGTGTGTGTGTGTGTGTGTGTGTGTGTGTGTGTGTGTGTGTGTGTGTGTGTGTGTGTGTGTGTGTGTGTGTGTGTGTGTGTGTGTGTTTTTGTTTTGGAGGGTGGTGTTGTTGGGGTGGCTTGGAGGGGATGCCAAAGAGAAGCCCTCATTTGTATGTCCCCCTGTCTTGACACACGCAGTATCAGGGCGTCAGGGGTCGTCGTGTTGACGTTTTCTCAGCAATGGGAGGCAAAGGAACTGCACAGGCCGATTTGAGGCCGAGATTGCGAACGGAGCCCAAGGCCTATCTGCGAGCAAGCTGACCGGGTTTGGCAGGGACTCTTTGCATGGAGACCCAGGAAGGTTCAGAGACGAGTCACAATGTCGGGCTGAGGGGGCCTGGCCAGTCGTGGCTACCTCGGGTGATTCTCAAAGGCAGGGTCAAGAAGGGGGCCTTGTTTGCCCATTCTGTTGAACGCGCTTTCCTGTGAAGTGCTTCCCGCTGGGCGTGTGACCAGGTTTTGCCACATTTCCATGACTTGAGGCATGGCATCACTCCACCTGCCGTTCTTGGTAGTTGCCGTCCGAATCCAGTGGCATGTTGTTTTTGGTCGGGGTTCCTTTTGCAATCTATCAACAAGCAAGCATAGACATCCATGTTCCCACGACCCCTAGGCAGATGAGTTTGTTTGAGTGTTTTGTTTGTTGATTTCAGGTTCAACAAGACGAGTTCGCGTCGACATATGTGAGATTGGGAAGGTCATGCGGCTAGGCTGGGAGATGGACCCTTCCTGGGCTTAATTCCAAGCCGCAAAGATCCTTCAGACAGTTTCCTTGCTTTCCTAGTTGTGGTGCCTAGGTGGACGACTCTTGTCATGCATGCGGTTGCCTCTAATGATGTGCTCCAATTCAATCGGACATGTGTATGTAAATATCTGTGTGTATGCATCTGTACATACACCCATGATTACATGTGTATTGGTGGTATTCGAGCGGTCAACTGTTTCTTTCTTGATTCATCCTTCATTCACTTCTTGGTTTACGTGTGTGTGTGTGTGTGTGTCGCAATCTCGGTATGGGGCTGGCTATTCACATGGGGAAAGCCGACTCCCGGGACACGGCCAGAGGTGGACTCCAGTCCCATGTCCGAGCCCTGCCGAGAGCCGAGCATTGGGCTTCGAGTCACAGGGCTGAATCCTCCGGCCGGATAAAACCTAGCTTCTAATGGAAGAGCCATGGTTGTTGTTGCGAAACATTTTACATCTTTGCTTATTGTGGTTTAGTGGGAAATCCCCACTGAACTGCTAATTAAATTTTGCTCCCCTAGTTATAAATTAACAATATGAGTCAAAATGGCCTGCCACACAACTCTGAGAAAAGGAAAAGGATCCGTAGGGGGCATTTTCGCATTTGGTAATTTTTACATATCCTCGAGGATCTCCTTGTGTTTGCATCTTTGGGGCGTCGCAAGGGTGGTTGATAGGAGTATATGGGAGACTTTGAGAAAAGTAGTTTCCCTTTGATTTACCGCTTTGTGCCTATTGTGCCTGTCCTATTTGGATTTTGGTTGTAGGGGACGAAGCTGCTTGCCACATGTTCTGGCCAGAAGGCCAGCATGCCCACGTTGTCGAAGTCCAAGGTAGGTGTGCGTGCGTGCATGCGCATGTTCATGTGCATGTGTCTCTGTGCTTGTGCTTCTGTTTGTTTTTGTGCTTACATATATATATATATATATTATGTGTGTGTGTGGTTTCGGGGTCACTGACACTGGCCACCACGCCCAGCAGTTCATTGTGCTATCCAGGGCCTTTCTTTGGGTCAGCATATGCGGCAGTCATGGTGCGACTTACACATCCGAGTCACGGCATGTGTTCTGCCCATGCGATCAGACTCTCTGTTCCAATGAGGAGTTGTTCAAAGCCGGCCAAAAAATATTGGTCCACTCCGGGTTATTTGGTGACCCCCGAAGGTCAACCATATAAGGTCTTTTGGCCTGCGGACCAGCCATAGGTTTCGGAGTTGAATGTTCGACCTTGTTGAACCCCCCACCACTTCAGCACCCGGTTTGCTTGGACCGGGTGCTAAATTCTCAGAACCCGATGCTCTTGACTCCAGCTTGGGCTGTGCTTGAGGCCGGGGTGTTCTGACTACGCGGGGCAGCCTGGGCAACAGTGCCTAGATCAGCCTGGACCGTGACTCGGGTAAATCTTTGGGGAAGCTCAACCGGCAACATCAGCACTCACAGAAGTCACAAGACGGGAAGCATGCTGTTGGTTTGACGCAGCATTGGCCTGCTGGCACTTTTCGGCAAATGATCCTGGCAACGCAACATCGCACTTATTTCCCTTCGGTGGGTGCTTCGGGCATGACGCAAGCGCCAAAGTGAACAATTATGAGAATGGGGTTGTGGGCGTGGGTGGCTATCAGGCCAAAATGCCTCATGATCATGGCCGAAGAGTGTGTACCTATTTATTCGCTGGTGCTCAGCCGGGAATGAGGGAATGACCCCTATCAACCAGCCAACTGGTGGTTTCCTTTAAGGGGACCCCCAGGTTCATTCCATTTCTCACTCCCTACCTATCGCACCAGCAAGCTATATTCATTGAATCCAGCTTCTCGAAGGCTTCTTGGGCCTTTGTTTTGCTCAAGCCGTTCGCGAGGGTTTCTTTTGGCACTCGAAAAGGGAACGCACTTCATTTTGCTTGTTCTGAAGCTGCTGCAATCTAATTTTAGAAGGGGAATACTGGAGAATGTCAACTCCGATGCAGCTTTGCCAGGAATTGTTCTCAAAAGGATCGCCGCTGTTAGTACTGTTAAGGAACACATTGGGTTGCTTGGACTCTTTTTTGGGGCCAAGCCACTAGCGGTGAGCCACCCTTCGAGGCTCCAGGCGCTCGGCTTGCAGAAGGAGGCGGCGGCCAGGGACCTGCCGGCCATCCGCCGCTGGCCGGGGGGGTGGGAGGGGGGGAGGGAGGGTTGGGGGGGGGGGCTGCGGGGGGGGAGGGGTGCGGGTTGCGGGTTGCGGGGCAGGAGGGGAGGGGGGGCTGGGTGTGGTAGGGGTGGGGTCGCGGGGGTGTCGCGGGGGGCGGGTGGTTGGAGCTGGGGGTTGGGAAGTTAAGATTCTGAGAGACACAAATGTTCAGTCCAGAATCATCTAGAATCCAGAGTTTTCAAGAGAGATCCAGGTTTGCAGGCTTAGGGAATTTTCAAGAGATCTCGAATCAGAGTTGGGCGCGAGCCTTTGGTGTTCGGAGTCGTTGGATTCGTTGTTGGACCCTTGTTTTTTTCCATTTGGTTTCCGGAAAGGCAAAGGGGATGAGAGACACATGGCTGCCACATGGCACCAGGGCCCAAATAAGGCTTCAAGAGCCATTGGGGGTGTTCCTGGCACCAGTTGACGTAAAGGACCTTCTTTGTTGTGGAAAACTCTGTTGCTGGGCTTGGGCGAAAAATTGAGTGATCAACCAAACACAAGGGAACGCACCATTTTGTTTCAACCATGTTGTTTAAGCTTGACCAAGCAGTTGGTGGTGTGATTCACCCACCACACAAAATACTCGCGTTGACCTTGTTTGAACACGTGGGGGTAGCATGACTGGATCCCTTGAAGTGGTCGCGTTGTGAAGGGCGGCCTCGCTTGGACACATGGGGGAGTTGTTGTGTTTGAGGATACCTTTATTGTGTTCACAGGTGTGTTGGTGGAAAGTGTGCAGCAGCTGGGTGCAGGGACCATTCACCTTGACCCTTTGGGAGCGTCCCTGCTAGGTATGCTGGCCAGGACGCCGAAATGTTCAACGAGAAGATGATGCGACTGGCGAGGCGCGGGCAACTGGATCTTGCACCAGGGCATGGTCAAGTTAGTCCAAGGGCTGTGTTGGATGCACATTTGCAGTTGGTTCTGGATGAAGTCTGAGGCTTGGCCGTTGCTGGAAGTAAGCCAATACCAAAGCCACAGGACTCGGTGGCGCACGCTAGGGCTCGGGTCTCCCAAAGATTCCGCTGGGATGCGATGCCACACTATCCTTGAGCCAGGCTGCGCTACATCATCACCAGCGCGCTGCTGAGGTTTTGTGTGAAAGGGGCCCATGGTAGGCCCGTGAATTTGCCCATCTCAGTGCCTCAGAGGAAAAGTCAAAGGGTCCTTCAATTTCCCTACCTGAGACCAAAGACGGCAGTTCTCGTTTCGTAAATTTGAGATTGCCAACTGTAATTTGGAAAATCCAGTCGGCGCTTCAACGGCCTGAAGAAAGGAGCAAAACACAAGACAGCGCAGCAGGGGCTGCACATCAACCTGGGTTCGTCTCAAAACCAGGCGCCCAGTGTTTGGCGGCCGAGTTGCAAAGAGAAGATTCTGCCAGCTTCAACAGGGCCGGGGGGGTTCAAAACAGTGGCCGCCAAAATCTGACTTGCCCAACGCCGACCTTTTGACTTTTTGGGTTTTCATTTTTGGCCTAATAATTAATCGTCCTGGCCCAAAAGGTTTGCAAATGAGAGTGCTTGTTTCTCTGTTGGCTGCCCTTGATTGATCACTCAAGAGGGGTCTGTTTTGAGAACCCCCAAGCCCCCAAGACACCGCTACGATCCGCTACAAGGCCACGACCCCTTTGATGCGGAGCAGACGGCTCTCTGTTTGGAGCCGAAGCCCAAGGAAATAGGAGGGCCAGAGGTACGTGGGACACAGTCCTCCTTTCTGTTGCCTTCCACGTCAGCCCCTGACAGTGGCACCGGATCGCTGCTTGCCCGGCTGGATGTCCCGGAGCAAAGTATCCATTGATATGTTCAACATGCTTTGTTTGGGCTTTGGCTGGAAATGCGCCAATGCAAGCCTGCGACTGCAAAAGGATGGGACACACAACGGGCTGACGGGCCCTTCACCATGAGCTACCGGTTTCAGCACGAAAGCTGAGACGCACAGCATTTTCTTTGTTTACCCGTTGGTTTCTTGGTTTAGTCAGTTGGTTATTTGGTTGGCTTTGGTCTTTGTTTGGTCCTTGTTTGGTCTTGTTTGCTTTTGTCGTATTTTGTCTTGCTGGTGCTCAGTAGGGAATGAGGGAATGACCCTTGTAAACCATCCAGCTGGTGGTTTCCTTTAAGGGAATCCTTGGGTGCATTCCCCTCATTCTAGCGCGACACTCACACCCTTCCACGCCTCGCCATCGTGATCGCAACCAGCCCGCCTTTCAGGCCATCTGGTTCGTGTGTTGCGCTGATGATTTTGGGGCCAACAAATAAAGAACCAACATGGCGGCCCAAAAAAGGCGGCGGCCCAACCGGCGAGGCCGCCGGCGAGCGCGCCACGCTACAAGAGCGCGCTGGCCAGAAGCCCAGCTTCCAGGGTCCCAGGCTTCCTTTAGGTCAGGGGTCATTGAGTGGTTTCCTTTGGCCTTTTCTACTCAAATCAGCTTCAAATCAGCTTGGGGCTCCAGCTGGATCCAAATCCTTGTAGATCAGGTGTTTCTTAGATGCATCGTTTCCGGAGCACGGCCTCTACGAACAGCTGAGTCCCTTCAACCAATTCCTACTCAGTGGGGACGGTTACTTCGGCCGAGTGGAAAGGAGGAGCACGCACAAAAGGAAATCCCACAAGCTGAAGGAAAGGCCCATGCGCAGCTGTCGAGGGATTTACTAAGGCAACTTGCCATGGTCCGTGTTGGGAAACCTTCGAACCATTTTTGTTTGTTGTGGTTTAGTGGTTGAATTCCCCCCTCAAATGCTAAAAATTAAAGACTGTTGCTCCCCTTTCAACGTCAACCAAGTTTTAGTGGTTTGTGCAGGTGGTTTTGTGGTCGTGCCCATTTCATCCACGGTTTCAATGACCCTTTGTTGCAGAAACCAGCCACAGTGGGTCCGATTTACCCAATGTTCAGCTGACTCTTGGAAAACTTCTTCTTTTTGTGATGCATCCTTTAAGGAGGTCTGTTGATCTGCGGGCTTTACAAGTGGCATCCCTGAAATGTGGAATCGGGGCGCCGCTTCCGACTATGCGACTGGTTGAATTCTAGCAGCAAGCTTGCGGTTTTGGCTGTTGCAGCTATCCAGGAAGCGCCCAAGAGAGCCCCTAAAGCAAGCCCGTCGGCTTTTAATCAAGCACAAGAGTGGAAGCAACCATGAGCCCAAACAGTACCCCTTTCTTTTTGCAACTGATATTGAGTTTATACATCATCAGTTCGTTGGCGTGCTCTTCTTCCGGTGTTCCCCTGGCTGCCCATGCCTGCTATCATTGTTTGATGGATATGTTCTTGTTTTTGCTGCAGTTGCTCCTTGTTATGCACACTTGCAGTTGTTTTGTGAACCCTGTTCGTTAGCTGTCATTGCTGTTCTTGCATTAGCTAGTGGTTTGATTTGAATGCTGTTCAGTCCTTTACGGCCGCTGTTCTTTTGCATTCCTATCGTTCTAGTCATTGTCATCCTCCTTATTACTTATTTGTTTTCTTTTGCCCGTTCATTGGCCTGCTTCGATTTCATTGTGGTTGAACCTAGCTGGCACTGATTTCCGTTTGGTTCAAAGCATTCATGAGTGCCATTTGTTCGTTCAAAAGGGCAACTAGGTTCATGCCCCACTTGTACAAGGAGTTATGAGCATGTGCCTCTTCCACAACAAACCTTTGTGCAGGTGATTTCATATATTTCATGCCTGTGGCATCCTGCAAGAGGATTTGAACTCCCAAACCGTACATATACTATTGACATATGTACAAACATGCAAAATGTATACGTACGCATTCCCATATACCCATTCATATGTATATGTATTCATATGTATATACATATACATATGTGTACGCATATGCATGCAAATACATACATACATACATACATACATACATACATACATACATACATACATACATACATACATACATACATACATACATACATACATACATACATACGCACATACTGCCACATACATGCATGCATGCATACATGCATGCATACATACATACATACGTACATACGTATATACATACATACATACATACATACATACATACATACATACGTACATATACCCATAAACTGCTACATACATACATGTTCATACACTACATGGCACTACATTATATTAGATTTCGTTACATGCATGCATACATACATACATACATGCATACACACATGCATAGATACATACATACGTACGTACGTGCGTACGTACATACGTACACATACATACATACATACATACGTTCGTTCATACATACATACATACGTACACACATACACACATACTGCCACATACTGCCACATACTGCCACATACTGCCACATGCGTACATACATACATGCATGCATGCATGCATGCATGCATTGCCACATACGTACATACATACACACATACATTTATACATTCTTGCATTCATACATTCATATACTCATACATGCATACATGCAAACATGCATACATACATGTACATACATTGCATACATGCATCCATCCATCCATCCATGCATGCATGCATGCATGCATGCATGCATGCATTACATACATGAATATGCTACCCCCCTTGCAATACACAGGTTTCTTCCCAGAGCTCAGGCTTTAGGCGACAAATGCCTTGAGACTGATGAAACTCCATGCAAATTCCAACCAGGCAGAAGTTAAGCCCAACCTTGAAAAAAGTCACGTTGGTGCGCGAAGCGCACTTAAAGTCACACTGGAATAAGCGAAGTGCACGTTGGAAGCTCCAGCTTAAACAGCGCAACTTTTGAGTACAAGAGCTGTACGCGAAGTACGCTTTGGCGGTTTAACGTGCCTGTAACACAGCTCCATTTTGGTTGTATTATCGTTGTTTGGCTGGGAAGTTTCGCAAAACATCAACTTGGGGGAAAGGAACTCAGTCCTACTTGCAAGTGACACCCAAAACAAGTTTGGAAGTGCTTTATGTCCTTGCGCAGTTGCATTTGCGTGTTAGTTGAGCTATACGTATACGACTCCGTATGCATTCTAATTCATTCTACTTGGGCCAAATTTGGCAAAGCCACTATCTCAGTAGTGCATTGCTTGACTAATTCGTTTCAACCATTGTCAATTTTAGAAAGAATCTCCAATTCGTTCAAGCCAGATTCTACTTGAACCGGTTTCGACTTCAAAAAACCAATCGGAGAACACAGCTGTTGCCATGGCCAGTTGAAGCTGGAATCATGCTCAATTTCAAGGGGGCCGTGCTTTCAACCAAGCAAGAGCTGAGCCAAGCCAAGAACAGAACCGCATTTTCAAACATAGGTCTTAGGCTTGGCATAAAATGCTGCACAATGCTGCGTGTTTTCTGCATTTGCTACGCTCGCGTTGCCCTGGATCGAAGGTCGAATAGTCAAGATTCCTCGCCAAAAGCTCGAAGCTTTATCCAGACTCTTCAAGGTTTTTTCCACCTGCACTGAAGATTGAAGATCTCCCAGATGTTGTGTTTTGAACACATTCCACCCTGCCCATTTTTCCCCGACTGCGAAGTTTTCCAAACCGACTGCACATTCACAATTTGATTCTTGGAGCGTGCGCTCCTTGTCTTCCGCTTTAGATTCTTCAATTGCTTACTTGGAAAAATCCAGGATGTGCTGGCGCGTGCTGGATTGAAGATTGAAGATTCTCTGACAACTCTGTCTGGGATTCTTCAAATCTGTACTTAGGGCAATTTTGGATGTGCTAGCGCATGCTAGCGCATCCTGGATTGAAGATTGATCCATACTTAGGACATCCAATAGGTACTAGCACGTGCTGGCACGTCCTGGTTGAAGATTGAAGAATCCATGAATCCGAGAAAGAGTTGTCAGATAATCTTCAATTTTCAATCCAGGATGTGCTAGGGCGTGCCACATCCAGGATTGCATTAAGCACTGATGCCAGAGGTTAAGGCAACCAAAGGAGTGCATTTTTGGAGCGTCATGCTTAGAAGCGGGAAAGTGCATATTACACGCAATATATACATATGGCGTAAATATATATATATGTATATATATTATACATACATATATACATATGGAATATATATATATATATATATATATTTTTACATACATATATACACATTGTATATATATATACACATACATATATACATATGGTAAATATATACATACACATTTTCATATGGAATATAAATATCAAAAATACATATATATATAAATGGCATATATAAATATATTTACACATACATATATATTTATATGTATGTATTATATGTATGTATACATAAATATATGCATATGGTGAATATATATTTATTTACAAACATATATACATATGGTTTTATATGTATACTTATATACATACATATAAACATCTGGTATATATATATATATATTTATACATACATACATACATACATACATACATACATACATATGGTATATATATATGTTTATATACATATATATATTCATATGTTATATATATATGTATATTTATACACATACATACATACATATGGTATTTTTATATATATATATTTATATACATACATGTAAACATATGGTAAATATAAATATATATATATATATACATTTAAATACATGCGTGTTTACATATGGTAGATATATATAATGTTATATACAGACATATACATGTGGTATATATATATATATATATGTATACATATATATATATATATACATATGGTATCTATTTACATTTATATACGTACATATATACATATGGTATATATATATACATTTGTATTTATATACATACATATATACATGTGGTATATATTTCTATTTATACATGTATATATACATACATATTCACATATGGTATGTGTGTATGAATTTATGTACATACATATTTACATGTGGAATATATATATATATATGTTTACATACATATATACATATGGTACATATATCAATATTTATACACATACGTATATGTATTTATATACATACATATATTTATATACATACATATATATATACATATGGTATATATATATATATTTCTACATACATTTATGCATATGGTATATATATATATTTACATACATGAATATATACATAGGGTATATGTATATGTATTTATTTACATACATATGTACGTATGGTAAATATATGTATATATCTATATACATACAGATATACATATGGTATATATATATATGTGTGTACATACATATATACAGATGGTATATATATTTAGAATTACATACATACATATATACCTATGGTATATGTATGTGTATTGATATACATACATATATACATATTGTATATATATACCTACATATATGCATATGGTATATAATATACATACATATATACATATGGTATATATATATATTTATACATACATATATACATATGGTATATATACATATATTTATATACACCACTCTACATATGATATATATCTATATATATATATATTTTTACATACATATATGCATATTGTACATATATATGGTAGAGGCACCCTCCCACCCCCCCTCCCCCGCCATAGTCATGGTAGCCTTTAAATAGGGCCCCACACCCTCCTCCCGCTGTGCTGGGTTTGCAGGTTATGGTCATTTTGCAAAAGGCCTCTCTTCCCCTGTGGGCCCGCTGGTGGGTTCCGGTTAGGGCCAAGGCTTCGAGTCGTACCCTGGTGTGCGCTCCCCCTGTGGGCCCGCTTTGCAGGGTATGGTCATCTTGCAAAAGGCCTCTCCACCCCTGTGGGCCCGCTGTCTTGCTTCCCTGTGGGCCCGCTGGTTTTGCAGGTTATGGTCATCTTGCAAAAGGCCTCTCCCCCCCTGTGGGCCCGCTGGTGGGTTCCGGTTCGGGCCAAGGCTTCGAGAGTCGTACCCCGGTCGGCGAGCAGGCACCCCCCCCCACCTCAAGTGGGGGGGGGGATACCATTGGGGGGGGGGGGGTGGCCGCTCGCCGACCGGAACCATATATATACATATATACATGTGGTATATATGTATGTATTTATATACATACATATATACATGTGGTATATATGTATGTATTTATATACATACATATATACATGTGGTATATATGTATGTATTTATATACATACATATATACATGTGGTATATATGTATGTATTTATATACATACATATATACATGTGGTATATATGTATGTATTTATATACATACATATATACATGTGGTATATATGTATGTATTTATATACATACATATATACATGTGGTATATATGTATGTATTTATATACATACATATATACATGTGGTATATATGTATGTATTTATATACATACATATATACATGTGGTATATATGTATGTATTTATATACATACATATATACATGTGGTATATATATATATATGTACAGCTACATTGATAGATCCATCTCGGCGTTTTTTTTGGGATCCGAGGCGCTGGACGAGCTGCTGGAGGGTAACTTCCCGGCGGCGTGCCGGGCCCTGGAGCTCCGCGCCAAGCCGGGGACGCCCAGCTCCGACCGGGGAGCCCGGCGCCGCCTTGGAAGCGCAGCTTATGGGCCAAGAGGTTTGGAACGGAAGGAAATGTAGGGGACCTTGGGTTGAATCTCGTTTTTTTGGTTTAGATGGCATCTAATTATCACCAGTGGAAATACGTTTTTTTTCTTGTTTTGTTTTTTCTTATTTCTGGGGGGGCTTAAGCAAACGGAGGTTTAAAACCACCAAACCTCTGGTTGAAGCAGGATTCAGATTTGGGATGTTTCTCAAAATCGTGGTTCAGCTTTTTGATGGGTCCAACCAGAAGGGAATTGATTTTGAGAAACATTTGTTTCACTTTTTCGGTTGGTTAGTGACATTCTTGAAGGATCCAATGCCTTGCTTCTATCATCAGAAGTGAATATGTACAAGTTTTCCAGGGGACAGATGGAAGATATCTGCAACCAGCGCTTGGAGAAGAACCACCGCCTTGAAGCTGAGGCCAAAGACGCTTCGCCGGGGTCTCAAGCCCGGCTGGATGGCTTGATGTTAGGCGGAAGATCTCAGCTTGGTGCGGGTGGGTAGGGGATGACCCGTTGGAAGGGCTTTGGGGAGGAACCGTATCCGGGATTTGTTTAAAGGAAACCATGCAAAATGGATTATAGGAGTGATTCTCGTTCCCTGGGAACCAGCAAGCCATGTTTGAAGGCAGCCTTCAGGTCACATTGAAACCAGGTGATCTAATAGCACTCCATGTTTTTCTTTTTCATTGGGTCTAGCTTGGAATAAATCAACAAATGAGGCTTGTGACATTTTTAGAAGCCACCTGGCAACTCAGTGACAGCCCCACAGGATGCGTTGGCATTTTGTGGGGACATAGGCGAGTTGTCACGGAGTTTGACCGATCGGTGCCAGCGACTGACGATCTACGCCCAAGTTCCATGCCGGCAGTTGCCTCATCCCACTTCGGTGGCGCCTTCTGACCTTCTGTTGTTGGAAGTTTGGATGTCGAATGCCCTGGGTCATGAATGTCAAAAACCCCTCGAACGTAGTGGGCCCTCTCCATGATGTCCACCAAAGGCCGCCTCCACAAGATTCCTAAGCCCACCCCAAGAAGGGTTCACGCGCAGAGGAAGGTACTGTGCTCAAGAAGTTTGAGTCGATCAGTTCCCAGCCAGTTGGCCGGTGAGTTGCCTTTTTCCCTGTTCCTCCTTTTTGGGAAGGGTTGCCTTCGCCCAAATCAATCTGGGTGAATTATAACGACCTCACACGACCTCACCCCAAATGGTGGTTTGTGGGGGGAATGCCCCCCCCCCCCCCCCAACAACCTTATTTCAGGCTGGTGAAATATTATAATTCACCCAGATCAATCCGGAACAAGGCCACAAAACATCCGCCAGACTGGGCACAGAGTGGGTTTGCAGGCGCTGCCCAGGAGTTGCTTTGTGAGTGTGCGGGGGGCCCAAGGGAGGTCCTGGGGATGGGCCAAAATATGTCTCCCAATGGAGGAGGACACGCAACAGAAACCAACCATTTTAGGGGATGACTAAATTGAGAACCACACATCCCCCCTCCCCCCCCGGCACCCCCCCTGCCCAGCGGCAGTTCCACGTGCCTCGCGCCAGTCAATGCGTTTGGATGTGATGGGAATGGACTGGGCTCAGACACCCCCCAGGTCCAGAGGAATCTCCTTTTGGGGGCCCCGCCAGTATTTGATTATTGTCTTGGGTTCGTTCCATGCCCTTTGTGGTTGTTTTGCTCGCAAAAAACAGATGGCGATTCCTGGTTTACCTGGTGGTTGAATAATCTACCAGGAAAACTCATCTATTTGCCCCTAAAAGGACACCTATGGTTCGTTCTATGTTAGACGGGGTTTAGTTTTGCGGATATGGCCGTCAAAACCAATGGTACCATTTTTGGGGTAGGTGCACCACCCATTTTAGTCTATTTTAGTGGGGATTGGGATGTTCACTGGGGGTAACCGGGGTTTTGACCCATGGCCAAATGTTGCGCAATTGCCTTTGCAGGTAGCAGCGCTGCAGCCGGTGTGGCGCCAAGATATGGGGATAAGCAGACCTGAGGTGGAATTCTCAATAGGGAGCCACCTCCAAGTAGGTCCACCAGGGTGCCTAGTGAAATTCACATCCATACCAAGCATCCACAGCTTCCTGAGGTCCTTCGAGAAACTAAAGAAACGCGCCTTCTTGGCGTTTGATGCAGGGCTCTGCAACTACACTTGGGAAGTTCCGTGTCTAAATGCAACCCGTGTTTCGGGGCACACAGGCCTCTAATCCATATGCCGATCCCCGGAAGCCACATTTTGGATGGTGTGCTTTCCTTGGTCCGGACGCCGTTATGAATCTGGGGCATGGTGTTTGTGGGGGGGCTGGCCTTGAGAGTTGGTACGCTATGAGCTGGTAAAATTATGTTTGATACACAGACTAGTCTTCAGAATGTTGTTTCATGTTTTTTGCCCCCCACATGAATGGCAATGCCTCAACCTACATTGATATTTGTTTCAACGGATCTAATCAGCGTGTGATTGCCGGAACAGGATTCGAAGGGTTGCGCCGGGGACGGCATGATACCTGGGGCACTCACGAAGTTTCCCACAGAATCTAGGGAACTCGCTGGCTCCAAAGCATCCGACGGTTGTCTTTTTGTCCTCGGGGAGGGGGGGTATGAAAGAGGTCAGACTCAACGGGTTGTAAAGGGATGGTTTCCGTAAAAGTCCTTACACCGGTACTAAACCATCTTTGATTTACCCCAATGTCCTGTTGTCCCTCGATTATGTTGGAGTTAGTACGGCTACTGGTGTTTGTTTTATCCATGGACGCTTTTAGTTGTCCTTGATTTCTCACAATGAGCGCTGCATTCCCCGCACTAAAAGCAAGGAGTCCCCAATTGAGCCGACTACCACCATTCGGTGTGAATTGCACCGGGGCAAAAGTGTCCCATGGGGCCGGGGCAAGCACAAATTGTCCCATCATCCCCTTTCTGGCCGGTCCCTTGGTAGGTGAAATTTAAGGCCTGCTTCCTTAATCCACATTCTCTATTCCACCCCTTGGTTTTCAGCGTCATCTTTTTGGCCAAGTACGGTTTCCTGACAAGGCAACCCTTGTTTGCAGTTGCATCCATGAAACCCAAAATCATTTACAACATGCAAATGGGATTTCAACACACGAATCAGACAAAGCCTGACATCCCCTTGGTCACCATCACCTAATCACCATTGTCTGCATCGCCTTCGGATCCTTCCAGTTGCTTAGAATATGTTCCTTTCCCCCCTGGTTTTTAAGGACACCGATCACTACTGGAGAATGCTGTTTTTTCTTCTTCGTCTTCTTCTTTTCCCCGGGGCCTTCGGCAAATGGACGGATGAAGCCCGAGTTGCCCGTCAGGGAAAAAACAACAAAAACAACAACACACACACACACACACACACACACACACACACACACACACACACACACACACACACACACACACACACACACACACACACACACACACACACACACACACACACACACACACACACACACACACACACACACACACACACACACACACACACACACACACACACACACACACACACACACACACACACACACACACACACACACACACACACACACACACACACACACACACACACACACACACACACACACACACACACACACACACACACACACACACACACACACACACACACACACACACACACACACACACACACACACACACACACACACACACACACACACACACACACACACACACACACACACACACACACACACACACACACACACACACACACACACACACACACACACACACACACACACACACACACACACACACACACACACACACACACACACACACACACACACACACACACACACACACACACACACACACACACACACACACACACACACACACACACACACACACACACACACACACACACACACACACACACACACACACACACACACACACACACACACACACACACACAGCGGAGAGCGGAGCGCGCGGCGCGGCGCGCGCGGCGGAGCTTCGGAGCGGAGCGGAGCGGAGCGGAGCGGAGCGGAGCGGAGCGGAGCAGCGGAGCGCGGAGCGGAGCGGAGCGGAGCGAGCGGAGCGGAGCGGAGCGGAGCGGAGCGGAGCGGAGCGGAGCGGAGCGGAGCGGAGCGGAGCGGAGCGGAGCAGCGGAGCGGAGCGGAGCGGAGCAGCGGAGCGGAGCGGAGCAGCGGAGCGGAGCGGAGCGGAGCGGAGCGGAGCCGCCGAGCGGAGCGGAGCGGAGCGGAGCGGAGCGGAGCGGAGCGGAGCGGAGCGGAGCGGAGCCGCCGCTCGCTCGGTGAGTCGCTGGATCAGCGGCCGCTCGCCGCTCGCTCGGATCGATGGATCCGACCGGCGGAGGTCTTCGTGACCGCGGCGGCGCCGGAGGGCTTCGCCTACTGCCGCGGGGAGGCACGGCCGCCGCGGGAAAGCCCAGACGTCGCGAGCGACGGAAGCGGCAAAGAGGCCGAGGGGCTGGTTTCTTTGAGGGAAAAATGGGGTTGTGGAGGGTTTTGGAGTATGTGTTGGTATGTTTTTTGTTGATACAAGGCTTTAGAAGCATAGTTTGGCATGATTTGAGAATGTGTTGGATTTGCATTGTAGGTTGTGGAAGTTTTGGGGACCCCAGTTTTGTTCGGTTTCAGCGGGAGCCTGTGCTCTGCGTTTTTTTTTTTTTTCCGGCTTTGGGAAGCGCACCGGAGGGTCCACAGAGTCTGACTCCTGGGCGAGTTTGGGGGCCATAAGGACACGAAGTTTCACCCAAAACGGGGGATGGAGATATGGCATTTCGAAGTCAAGTTAGGGATGACATGGTTGGGGGCACGGAGCCCATTGGGGTGAGTGCGAATAGCCGACTTGAGACAATCAACCAGGATCCCAGTGAATGTGGCGGAGCAACAGCCGTCACTCAACCACACAGATCAAATTGTTTGTTGGTTGCCACCATATTTCGACCTTCGCGATCTGGACTGCAGGAGCAACCCACCTAGAGATGTTGTAGCAAGCCAAGCTCGAATCTAGTTAAGACTGGCTGGCTATCACCTGGGAGATTCTCAGATGTCCCACAATCCCACACAAACATCTTAGTGTTTTGTTGATTAGGGTTTTAGGATACTTTTGGTGCTGGCCCTTGTTTCGCTCTCAAATGGAGATCCCCGTCCCCACGGAACAGCAGCTCGCAAATCTGAGGCAAGGCAGCTCATCAGTTCCCGCCGCAAAGCAAGCCGTCAGCAAAGGTGTGACGAAAAACAAATCCTGCGATGTTCCCAGTCCTTAGGCCGGCAGGATGTGGCCGCTTGGCAGGGATTGCTCGTTGTCGAAGCGTTGCTGGCGGTTGATTCTGCCATTTCTTTCCGCGCCAGAGGTCGCAAGACATCTTGGACAAGGACCTCAGCGATCCGGTGTTCGTGCCCAGCTCGCAGCAGGCTCGGGGTGACCGGCGCCACTCGAGTGATTGCGGGCGGATGCAGAGCAGCTTTGGGCAGAGCATCGCACATCAATCAGTTGAAACCCTGGCCCTTGAGAGAAAGCTTCAAGGCAGGGATTCAAACAGCCGAAGCCGATGCCGCAGGTTCTGGACGCATTGATCCTTCCACTTTGTCAGCACTTCTCCCTGCCGCTGCCGCACCCCCAGGCGTAATGTTCTCGAAGACCCTGCGAAAGGGGTGGCGGCGATGGGGTGGGCGGCGGCCTGAGGTCCTTGCGGATGGGCACTCGCCGAGCAGCCAGCTCCTCAGAAAGGCGTCAAGGAGAGGAACTCTCCTTGAGGGCTGGCTGCCCGCTTTGCAGTGAGGGCTCTCGCACGTCCTGTTTGCCGGCCGGTTTTGGCCCTGTCACGTTACACGTCTTTCAGTTTCCGAGCTTGGTTATGGTTGAGACACGTTGCAGTGCAATGAATGTGTCAACCTGCCCACAATCAAAACGCCCCCGGAGTCCTTCCTTGGCCTTTGAGGTTCGGAGTCTAAGTTTGCAAAAATACCACTTGGCTGTGGCTCAAAAAACCGGTACCAAAATAGGACCTTGGTAAGTGGAAACATGGACCAAGACCTGCGTAGCCCCTCCTGCTTAATTTTGAGCCACACCCACTTCAGTTTCTCCCGCCCATCTGAGGAATTGAGTTGGCCCCTTCAGGTTCCCCATCCAATTTTGCAGCGACACTTGGAGGTCAACCCAGCCTTGCGCCTGGCCGGCGATGCGGCTGGGCGGCTCAGGTCAGCCAGAATTGCTCCAGGACTTGCTTGTTTTCAATCTTGGGTTACTATGTCTCTATTCACCGCTATTATCTGGTTTATCTTGGGTGTCGCATGGCGGTGAATCCATAGGCAGGAGATAGGAAGGATAGAGACAAGGGTTGGCAAAGCCTGACTTACCAAAGGACTGCTTCATCTTTGGGCGCCCTGGAAGCCAAACCTGTATTGGATTCCGTGTGCATGGGCAGGCGATGCATGCCAATGCCAGGACGCTAAGCAAAATCGCCACGCTTTGGGGCAGGCCTTGGAGAAGGGCGCTGTACTCAATGAATCAGTCAGCCAGTCAGTCAGTCAGTCACTCAGTCACTCAGTCACTCAGTCAATCAGTCAATCAATCAATCCAAAGCAAAGGAAACGAAAGCAAAGCAAAGCAAAGCAAATCAAATCAGGCAGGCAAGCAAGTTGCTCGAGTCGAATAATCACCATAATGCAGAACAGTGGGTCAGGGGTCGCCTGTGATCAGGTCAGGGGGCCTCTCTTGAGTGCTTTCTGTTTGAGGGGCTTGCTTGCACAAGCCTACGGTAAGATCCGTTTTCAGTGAGCGGGCCCATGGGACCGGAACACGTCGGTTTTGCTGCACTCACGATTCGCATAGAACCCCAGACATCTTTTAGCTCCTTTCAGAGGCTTCCATATGGATTTGCACGGGTTACATTGCCAGGGGCCTCTCCAAGTGTTCGGCTTCTCTTCGGGCTTTTGTAGAACAACATGGGGTTCTCAAAACAGGGGGCCCTTCAGTGGATGTGAAGAACACCCCAATGAAAACAACCCATTTGGTGTTCCCCATTTGGAGAAACCCAACTTCGTCACCGCTTCCCGAGTTTGCCATGATACCTGCGCAAGGCTGGCAGCGCGGAGCTGCGATCACTGGGTGTGAGACTGAGTTGCGGACCTGGGCTGGCTGGGTGCTTGCAGACTGTCCTCACCCTTGGCAGGCTTTTTTTTGTTTGCTCTGTGCAAAGCACTTGCAACAAAGATAGTTACAGTAAAATGGGCATGCGTTAAAAATAGGGGGCCCATGGAACCCAAAGACTATTGTTTCTTTCGAAGCCAACCTGAAAGTAGGGTACCGCGTTTGTACAGCCAAGCTGTTTTAGGTCAACCGCGCTCCCGCTGTTTCGGCGAGGCCACCTCTGCGAGGCGAATCCCAAGGTGAAGTTCCTCTTCACGGTGCTGAGCCGCAGCGATCAGCACGAGGCCAGGGATTGACACGTGAACGGCACAGGATCCGCAAGGAAGCCAAAGCCGTGTTGGACCGTCCGTCCAATGGACGTGATGGAGTGTCATGTGCATGTGAAAGTAAGAGTGGCGATCCGCAACTCGCAAAGTGCAAAACCTGCCAAAACATGCGTCGCTTGGCTTTTTTCTCTGCCATGAAGTCGGCTCGAGGCCGCCGTGCTGGCATCCAAGTTCCGGAATCTTCACCTGTGGGGCTGCTGGTGGTACTGCAACTACCCGCCGCTTGGCTTCAACATAATTTATATGTGGTACTGGATGTTTGGACGTTACAGCTTGTTGGTTGAAACAGTTCGGATTTTCCGGATTGGACCCACGGAAAGTTAAACTTTTCGCAGATGTGGTTTAGCAGGTCCCTTGTTGGGTGGTTTGAAAGGCAGCGCATGTCAGTAAACAGCCAGCTGCCATGAACCCAGCTTACAGAGAAAGGAGGATGAAGCAACAGTTGTTGGATGCCACCTGCTTGTTCAAACTGAACGTGCTTTCTACTTTGGAGGAACATGAATCACGCCCTTTGCTTTTTATATATTTATTTATGTAGTATTTATTTTTATTTTTATTTTTTTTGGGGGGGGGTGTCACGCCCTTTGCTTTTACTTGTTTTCCTTTGGGGGGGGGGGCCAAAGGAGCACAGTGGAGGCTCCCTCACGTCCCCACGGCCACCAGCGCCACCTGCGACCGCCCCGCGCTCGAGCGAGGTCCGTGGTGGCGGAGACGGCCAGCCTGCGCTTGGAGCTGCTGGGGTTGAACTTCACCTACCAGGCGGTCCCGGCGCTTTTTCTTTTGTCCCGGTGGCCTGTGGTGGCAGCTGTTTTTTCTTCTTCGCGCGCTTTTTTTTCCAGCCTCCCGTTTAACAGAAGGGAACTTGGGCAAAAGGGGGAGCCCGGGAATCCTGGAGTCCTGGAAGATCATCTTCGTTCTCAAAGGGACCGCGTCCCGAACGTCAGGTTCCATGTTAATTTGCGGGAGGGTACCCTGCAGGGTTTCCCTCTCGCGACATACCCGCGATCAACACGAGCCAAACTGTTGGCTCGAAAATGCCAGGAAACCACACGCTTGGACGCTTTGATGCATGCCTGGATTTCGTGCAGAACCCCGGAGCAAGGCCAGCTCCGCACGAGTTCACGATCAGCTGATCTACAAATGGATCCACGCGTCGGGAGCCACAAGGGATGTGGCTTCAGTTTGGGTTGTATAGGCTGGTTGCTACGGCTTTTGGATTGAAAGGCCGGCGAGGTTTAGGCCAGAACCTCCAACATGCAACTGGCCACTGGGGCGGAGGCCAACTCAAAGCAAGCTTACCCGTCCCAAATATCAAATGCTGGGGTTCATATCGGGTTTCGTTTGCAGGGTGTCAAATCTGAAGCAAGACGCCCACAAGCCTTTGATTTTGAGGATCAAAACAGAGGCCACAAAGGTGCCGCTGGCAGAGAGCCAAATTCCAAGAATGCTGCAGTTTGAGCGAAACCCAGGAGTCATCTGGTTTCGCATCCCTTTGGTTCGGTGTTTATTCATTGGTCAAACAGGGGGTTACAGAGGCACCCGGGTGGGCGGCTTCTTATGAAGAGAAGTGCGGCTGAGTCATCTCTAAGCGCTGGATGGCTCAGGCGATCCATGCTGAAGAAGCTGCTTGCAGCGAAGTACTCGGAGCTGATGGTCGGCACCTGAGCGTGCGAGAAACGGGCCTTCCTTTGGGCCAAAAGTGAGTCAACTGCTTTTACTTTTTCCGTGTACCCTACCCATCAACGCGGAACCTGACGTTCGGGACCGGCCCTGTAAAAGGAAAATGGTGCAAACCAGGAACCCCCCTGTCAGGTTCCATGTTGATTGGGGGAAGGGTATTCCAGTTGAATCGGGTCAAGGGCCCATCATGCAATGGCCTTTGAGCCTCGACCGTGGATCAACCCTTTGTATTGAACAGGCTAGTTTGCGAGTCAGGGTGCTGTGTTGACCGGTTTCGCAAATCTCATGGCGTTGTTGCCTGAGGCCTGGACTTCTGTGATCACACTGCCCCGAGCGGAAATGTATGTGGTTGTGCGCAAAAGCTCGCTGTGAATTAAGCAAGTAAATAGGTCAACCCGCTGTTTGGATGGTTTGACATTAGTTGTTTTAAAGGCGTTTGGCGCTCCATCTTGGGAGGGGCGTTTCAGAAAAAACACGAGCGGCCCATGCATTTGCGTGCCTTGGCTTCAGGGGCTCGGGGGCTTCCTCTTGTGACCTTTTGGCAACGAGCCCTTTGCCTGTTTGACAGTCTCAACTTAGCGTCCCAGAATGGCCAAGCAAAGAACCAACAGCGCAAACATGCTGGCTGGACAGACTGGCAGTAGTGACGCACGAGGTATCCTCACAGTTACTTAGGGTGTTCTCTCAATCCGAGCAACGCTGAATATGTTGTTTATTTGAATGCCTTGAGGATTGTGTTTTTCTCAATGGTGATTGATTAACAATATATCATTCCTAGTTGTTAGTGGCAAGCACCTGAAGCCGTTGTGCAAAAGATCCACCCCTGCGGGATGTAAAAGAGTACTAAAAGAGTACTACGAAATAATGTTACAGGGGGGAAGGACAGGTGAACTTTAATAAAACAAAGCGCATCCAAACCGTTTAGTAGAAAACAAAACTACGGAGTCTGGGGTAAGGAAGTCGCCCAGCCGTGGGGATGGCCGGACCATGGACCAAGGCCACGGGGTGGCAGGTGAGCCGCGGCGACATCCGCCGGGACGCGGGGCTCCCCAGTCGGACGTCCGGATGGTGGGATGGTTTTTGGGCCTGGGGGTCAAAACCACTGGGATCCCAGTTTGGGGTAGGTGCACCACCAATTTTAGTCTATGGGGATTGGGATGTGCACGGTACGAGGTGGATTTTGACCCATGGCCGGTTAGCCCCTCTGGTTGAGAGCCAAAGGTTTGAGGGAACAGAAGCTGGGCTCCTTTCCACACCCATTGCAGCTGTTTATCCGATTTTTCACCGGTGGTTGGCTCTTTGCTCGGCGCTCCTGCAGGTCAACACGGCCCAACATACACCATGCTTTATATTTTTGGAAGAGCCCCCGTTTCTTGGCCCCATGCCGATTTGAAGGGGAGTAACCGGTTTTGGTCCATCAACTGAGTGAACCAGAAGTGGCTCCAAAACATAGCCTGACACCATCCCCTGATAGCAGACTGACGACGAGAGCAGAAGACCCAGAAGACCTCATCAGACCCCGGCCCAATATGATTGATTCAATTATGGAATGATCGCATCATGAGGCATTCACCAGCATGAAACATCTTTGCGCCAATCTGGAATCGTGTTGAGCAGTCCAGATTAGCTTTGCCTAGTTTCACATCATGTCCAATCCCCCCAAGTGCTACTCAAGTACCTGAAAAATGTGACTTGGTTTCATGCGAGGCAACTCCGAAAGCGTCCAACATGTAATCTTACATTTGGCTCGGCAGACCAACATGTAGGTGGCCCACCCCAAAAAGGTGGGGATCTGATTCAACTGTTCGTTGCAAGTAGCTTACCCCTGCATGGCAAGTTTGACTACTCCGTTGCACATGGCTGGGGTGTTGTCTTCGGGGGATGGCGTTGATCCTTGAATGATTGTTTTAAGCTGGGCTGGATGTGGTATTGTACGGATGTGCATCTGATGCCTCCATGCTTTATAAACATATAGAATATACAAAATGTAATGTAATGTATGTCCATTTGGGAGGGACATGGACAAAACCTAGGGGACTTACCTATTTGTCCACGTCCGCTTGGGGAAGCAAGTAGTTTGGATTGTGTCTTACAGTATTTGAGTTTGCGGTTGAACCTCAGCAAGTTCACAGACTGCAAGGAACCAGCTTGTTTGCAAGGTGGTGCCACCCAAGACAAGGACTGCCTCGCATGGGTGCATTTTGCTTCCCCAAAAAAGCCAACCCGAAAAGAAGGAAAACCGAAGCAAACCGAAGGAGAAAACCACGGACACCAAGAGCAAACCAAGGAACATCCTAGGAAGTTCAATCACAGGGAAACCAAAGAAAAGCCCAGAAACTATGGAAAATCCTAGGCAAACAGGAAACAACTAGAGAAACCAAACACAATGGAAACATCCGAGGGAAACCAAGAACCACGGATCTAGGGAGCAAGAGAAACCAAAGGAAGACAAGATGAACCAAGGGAAACTCGAGAACCTCACTTCTTAAGACGGCGGCTTCTCCATCCGTGGCGAGGTGTCGAACCGTTTCGGTTTCGGTGCGAGGTGTACCGATTGCTGGGCGGGGCCTTCGAGGAGTTCTTGGCGAAGCCGTGAGGCGGGTTGCGATCTCCGGGCGATCTCCGGGATCCGCTCGCGGGCGAAGGGAAATTGAAGGACACCCCATACTTCTTTTCAAGTGAGTTATATATTTGTGAGGAGCCCTCTTTGGGTAGCAAGCTGAGAGCCTGGTTTCGATCAAGGATATTTGTTTTGGTAGAACCAATCCCACTATTCATCATAAGATCATGGCCCCGAGGCGCGCGCGCGCGCGCTTGTTTCTTCTTTGGCCGTCGATTTCCCGCCAAGGCGGTCATTTCCCATGGCCTTTGCTTCTGTCCGCACGCATTCAGATGTGCAATGTCACGAATCCACGACTAAGCCTGGACAAGCTGACTCCAAGCCGCTTCTCACGCGGCAGGTTTGATCCATTGAGCGGGCGGCGGCAGGCGTGCAGACTGTACAGTGCACAGCGCGGCTTTGCAACTCCAGGGGCGACTGTTTCCAGCAGCTTGAGCTAGCATCCCTGACTGTGATCCCAGATGCTCAGTGGATTCCACCCTTGCGAGTAGTTTTGTGGCATTGTTTCGCCACGAATACTCAACCCCGGAGATGGTTCCCGTTTCCCACCAGGACCACTGGGCCATTAATGGAGGCATGTGCGAAACCCTTCCAAAATGGACGATACCCGGAGAAAAAACAAGAAAAAAACAAACAGTGAGGAAGGCCGAGCCGCATATATCATATGATTTGGGTGACATAGTGAGAGCATCTCCAATCAACAATGGATCACGAGTCCTGATGTCACTGAAGCGTGTCGATGTTTGTTAGACACCTGGCCTATTTGCCGGCGGAGGTAGACGCCAGGGAGTCGCTTGGAATTGCAATGCTGCAAGTCTGGCAGCACTTTTGGTGCTGCCTCAAGCTGTGCTGCCTCAAAGACCGCAAGTTTTCCAGGCTGTGATGGTGACGAGGCCGCATTTATCCCAAGTAATGCGCACTCGACGTCCACTCAGTTGCCTGGCTGCGCGCGCGTCAGTGAGAAAGGTGCTCAAGGCGACAAAGCTTCACAGGCCGCTCGGGGTTCTGGCCGTTTCGAAAGGGGACCCCTGTCGCAGGGTCACAGCCGGAGGGGCAGAGGGCCTGCAGGCATGCCTTTTTTGGCTCGGCGTCCTCTTTGGGCTTGGCTTATTAGAGATGAATTCATGCGAGCCTTCTCTTCATGGGGGTTTTGCCCTGTGATTTGTTTCTGACTCAACGACCTGTTGTATGGGCTGACCATTTGGAGCTATTTGAGTCGAATGTGAAGAGTTTGACACTCCCTTCGCTCGTGCGCCCCGTCCTTTGGGTCAGCTTTCGTGGGTTGAAAGCGCTTGCCACCTAGAGCTTGCAACCTCACCCCGCTCAGCGCCCATTTCCGGGGATATTAACTTCTCGGCCAAAGAGGTGAGGATGCGGCCCCATACAGGCAAGCTAAACCTAAAGTTGCGGCTGGAAAGGAAAGCACAGGATGCCACATGTGGCGAACATTCACTTAACTGAAACTAAAGTGGCTCTCTGGCCGAACGGGCAGGTGTCTACCGAAATGAGTGAATGAGTGCACCCAAGGTCCCAGCAGCATTTGGGCCACTGGTTTAAGCAAGGCCGCTCCTTGTCCGGTGCTCGTGCTAGTTCGGGCCTTATGGAGATGTGCCATGGATAAGGAGCAACGAGCTTGGATGCCATTGGGGGGGGAAGGGGGGGTGTTCCACTGAGATGCGCACAACTCGGGGCCCCTTAAGCCCTAAGCCCGCTGCTGCAGCGTCTTAGAAATGAAGTGACGCACAAGAAATCCCAGCATGTGTGCCAACCCGCCGCTTGAACATGTTTAGCGCCCAACGTTTAATTAAACTGAAACAGCCCTAGGTTCTGGTTAAACCCGATTCTGCGTTTGTCATCAACGCGTGAAAGAAGAGCTTGGATTATAGGTTCTATTGGCCCGGGTCCATTTAATGGCAAATTGTGCCCGCGGCCTTCCGCAAGGGTCTCTATGTCATTATGTTGCAGGCAGGGGCGTTTCTCTCCCTATATGGACCCGTACCTCCTTGTTGCGGTTTGGAAGAGATAGTCCCTTTCCCTAATTTAAAAAAGGCCACCACCTATATAATAACAAAAAAACTGTTTGCACAGAAAACCACATTTGTACTGTTAGGGGCTAGCTTTGATTCCAATACAAAGGACTCTTCCTTGTATGGCAAACCACGTCCAGGATGCAACGTTTAAGCACCGGATTTCAATAGTTCAAGCTGGGGTGTGGAACCTGTTGGATCTGAACAAAATTGGTTGTTCTTCTGGGAACGTTAGGGGAAATCCCTGCTTTAGTATCGGTATCGGTTTCAATTTGTCTATTCTAAATGTAGTATTCCCGGACCTGGACATGTTGGACATTTCAGAACATATATTGTATTTTTAGGGCGGCTTGTTTTGCCTAGGAGGAAGGGATTATGTTTTGCTTCTTGAGGGGCCTATTAAGGCTTTTTTGTGGCGCGACTGGTTGGACTTTATGTGGTCTGTGGCTGTGTTTGGTACCTGCTTGAAAGAGTGCTTTGGCCCATCTCAGGATAATGATCATGGTTCAATGTCATTTGCTGTAACCCGGAAGCATTAGATACGGGTTGTTCAGCTCTTTTGTCGCCGCTTTCGTGTAGCAGGCATGACGTTTCGTTCGGCCACAGCTGAGAACCAGTTTGCTACGAGGTTGCCAAGTATGTATATCTATATTTATACAGATATATGCACCTATATGCTACCCCCCCCGCCACTCCAGGACCCAGGTTTTGGGCCTTCTGGGGATGATAAATCTAGAATTTCCAATTTTGCCCCACAGCCTAAGAATTTGGAGCCCAGAGTCCCGCCGAAATGTCCCAATACGATACCCTGTGCAATGGGGGTTTAATTCAAGTAGATCGGGAATGGTCAATATGATTTAGTAAGGAGAGATTTTCTAAAGTGTGTTTTATGTTCAATTAGGTTTTGAATAAAGTATTCCTTTTCGGACAAAACTCATCAACTAACCTTTAACATCAAGTTTAAAATAGACTTGTATTCCCAATGTACAAAAACAACTACAGACAAAATTCAATTGGCTTTTGATAATAATAAAATTGGAATTTACTCGCATATGATTCATGTTAAATATGCAGGCTGAACGTTTAAGGGACTTCTACAAGGAAACTTGATATAGGAGGAGTGTTGTTTACATTATGGCATTCTGGCCCTTTGCAGCATAAGAAAGGTCCAATGGATGGGAGATTCAAATTCTAACTATCTCGACACATGGATTCAAGCTGAATCAGTTGTATTTAGAGGCTTATTTAGACAGGTATTCTATCTCAAAAGGCGGAGGTAGTAGATGAGCAGATTTGCACAGGTAGTTCAGGGGAGTTACACAGGTAGTTCAGGGGAGTTGACGGCGTGTGAGCATATTGCATCTATATATACATGCATACATATATAGTACCATATAGTACCCCTCATGACCCTGCGCCTTTGCAAACAAATGCTGCAATATACATTGTGTTTGAGCATTCTGCCAACCTCCGGGAAAAGGGTCAAAATGAGAATAGCTTACATGAAGCAAGAAGCTCACCAAAAGCACTTGAACGCGAGATGAAAGTTTTTCACTGGATCGCTCAGCACTCGAATGTTTTTTTCCGCTGGATTAAAGATTGACGATTACACAGGCAACTGTTCTGTACTGTTCTGTGAATCTTCGACCCTGGCCAATCCCAAACAACCTGCACTTGAAAGTGCTTTACGACTGGATGGAAGATTTAAGAACTGTCCTGAGAACCATTAATTAATCCTGGCCAACCCAAAAGAAGTTTCAAGTTGTTCTAAAACCTCTGGAATGAAGATTCACTATTGAAATCATTCACAGTAAGCTTTTCCAAGAATCTTGTCCTCGCACTTTGAATCCTGCCATTGCGGGAACTTCGAGGGTTGCAGATTAAATGCACTTTGAATCCTGCCATTGCGGGAACTTCGAGGGTTGCAGATTAAATGCATATGACCGCAGACGGGTGCGCATACTTGGTTGCAGAAGTATGTATTGCAAACCGGGAGTACTGGGACAACGCTAGATTTGTTTCAAAACGTTAAAACTTATGGGCTCAAGATTCAAGATTCCCAAGCATTATTTTCTCAGATTCGTGAATCTTGACTCTTGATTCCCACATCTCTTTTTTTCTTTCAAAGCAAGACTCTTAGACGCATGCAGGCTCTGTCAGATGGGAGATGTTGACATCATCGCTTACATTACATATCTGTATTTATGTATTGACATATGCCCGCCCCCTCAATTTGGCCACAAAATCAACTTCCACGGGGGCTGCTATACACATACATAATTAAAGATATATACATGTATATATATAGTACTGTTTCTTTGTATTATTGATTGATATATCCAGTTTGCTGTTTTCAGGACATTGCATATTGATATGTAGATATTCAAATGTAGACAACAACCTGCAGCTGACCAACGTTTGGTTTTTCCTTTGTTGGATCTTACATGTAGGCACATTGCCTACATAGATGCGGGGCCGTTGCACCAAATCATGCGCCTATTGTCAAAACTTTTGTACGCTTGGAATGGCGCAATCCCACTGTTTGCCAATGTCCCCCGCCTGGCAACTGGCAAGCACGGCACTCCCTTGCAAACAGATGTCCAGAAGATTTCAGGCAGGCAGAAGGACCTATCATGACCCCCCCTGCTGCAGCTGGGGTTTTCGAATATGTTTGATATCTATCCGGGGTCCCCTTATATTTCCGGTTGTTTTGAACATCGTGTTTGGGGCGCAGCGATATTAACGATGGCAGTAAGGAATGTCAATGTTGCTCAATCTGGCAGCTGAAGTGTGATGGTCGGCAGTCTCAGTACAGCATCGCTGTCTGGCCCATGCCCAGCACTCCCCCCAATAAAGTTATTGTCCCCTTGCCTTGTAACGGGCGGCATAAAGAGCTGACACCAGTACACTACGCAGGCCGCTTTGCAATCTGCTGGTCTTTGTTGTGTCTGATTGTGTGGGGCTGGTTTGAAGGGAACCTACAAAAACAAACAAGCTTTTGTAAGGGTCACCATATCTTGCCATTTGTTTTATTGGCGCGGGAAGAAAAGCCGCCGCAGGAGGCCGACGACGCATGCCGCGAGCCGTGGGCGGAGGGTCCATTTGCGCGTGCAGATCCGGCGCCGTGGCGAACCCCCCCCCCCAGGAAGGTTCTCAGAAGCTTCCAAGAGCCCGTTAAGGTGCTAAGAACCCTTTTTTCGGGTTGGGGGTGAGGTTTTTCCCCGATGCACCCTTCTGAAAGTAATGGTAGTTGGCTGCGTGGTTATGCAGGGTACCTTGTCTAAGGTTGGTTTAGATTGGAAACAAAAGGACGACCACAGCTTAGTCTTATTTTGACACATACCCTAGCTACGCATGACCCCTCCAACATGGAATTGCAGAAGACCCCCCCTTGCGCTGAGTAAACGCCTCCACAAATGGGTGTCATTTGGGGTGGGGTTCCCTGCCGACGGCACTGCCAACTCTGCATTGCCTTTTCTTTTAGGCACACAAACAAAATGCCATTTGCATTCAACCAACTGGTAGAGACCAGCACTTCCTTATGGTGCCTTCTGAATTTCAAGGTCCGAAAGAAATCATGCCGTGGCAGCTCTCTTCTTGCGCGGAGCACGGTTTTCGTTTGAATGCTTCGCGCTTGTGGACAATAGATGGAATGGATGCTTCTGATACTGGTCGTTTGGAGTTTTGAGCGTTGCCCTTTGAATGTTGACAAAACAGACCCCACGGAACCCCGGGAGTTTTGTTCTGGTTCATACGGCAGGGGCACTCCTTCTACCATGCTTTCGTTGCTCAGTCCGCTCGCCTCGGGACCTGCATGGTCACTTTCAGGTTCTTTGGTGTGGAGCCAATGGGATTTTCCGCTTCCTAGAGTCTCCATGACCCTTAAAAAATGGGTCCATGACCCCTCACTTTTGGGTCATGACCCCTTTTTTTGAAGGTCATGGAGACTCCAGGTTGGCTTCCCGAAGCCAGCTGAAAGGGATATAGGCTTTTGACTCTCAAAAGTCAAACAAGACGCTCCCAAATGGCATCCCCCCTTTCTGCCAGACACCTTTTCGGCCAAGCCCGGACCACACCCCGGGCGAGCCGAGAGGTCGAGATAGGCGAAGGCGACGATGGCCTTCGTGCGTTTGCGGGTGGCATGCTGAATGGCAAGGAGCATTTAAACTGAGGTTGGCAAAATTTGATTTGGGCACTTACTTTGAGTTGTTAATCATTTGCTTGTTGTTTTCTTGGACTCGAATCCTTCCGGTTGGTGTCACTCCAATCTTTATGCGACGAGCAAGAACATTGCAACTGTTTCTGTCCAGTATACTCAGCGGGTCAGGCATGGCAAGAAAAAGGAGGACACTGGCAGGCTGGTCGAGCCATCACCAGCGGCAGAAGTTTCGGCTGATGGCAACGACGTGCCCAAAGATGCAGAGGCTGGTGAGACAGCAGAAGGCGTTGCAGAGGTCGAGTTGGAGCAGCCTCAGGAGCCATTTGCAGACTCCCCTGGATCGTGCAGAGGCATTGCCATTGCTTTGGCTGACGCACATGTGCCCGACGCGGACCAGCCGGCTGCGACAAATGGTTCGAAAGGCGCGGAAGCCACGGGAGCTACCGAAGCTGTGGAAGCCGTGGAAGCTGCGGAAGCCACCGAAGCAGCGGGAACTGCGGAAGCTGCGGAAGCCACGGAAGCTGTGGAAGCCACGGAAGCTGCGGAAGCCGCGGAAGCTGCGGGAGCTGTGGAAGCCACAGAAGCTGCAGGAGCTGTGGAGGCTACGGAAGCCGCAGCAGCTGCCGAAGCCGCAGAAGCTTTGGAAGACTCGCTCGCTGCAGAAGCTGCTGCGCTTCAGGCAGATGCTGCTTCGAGTTTTGCAGCGAGCAGCCCTAGCAGCGCTAGCAACGCGGATTTTGCGGAACCCGAAACTGAGGGCGCTGCCGAAAGAGCCGCAGAGTCGCCCGAGCAGGCTGCCACAGCTAAGCCGGAAGAGGCTGAAACATTCCCGACTGAGCCGACGGTTTCGACGGTTTCGGATCTGGAGAAGGCTCTTCACAGGATAGATGAAGACCCTGCAGAGGTTCAGACTTTTCAGCAAGGTGCGGCGATGGTGCCCGAAACTTGGGAAATCGCAGGCCGCGACAGGCGGGGGGCTGCGTGCAGACTTGCAAGGCCACCACTTCAACACGGCTCCTTGAGAGACGCCAAACTCGTATTGCCGAAGTAAAGGGGAAATTGCTGAAGTCCTGTCGCCTTTTCGGCCAACCGGATGTTTATGCTCCTCCTAAGAAAAGGTGAAAAAGAGATCACTGATTCAAGGCCTGGCGGGTCGGGGCTGATGTTGCGGGAATACTTTGATTTTTATTGCCGGGGCCTTTATTAAAAGGGGGAGGGGATTGCTGAATACTGTTTATTCATAGGTATGGGTGTCCAAACCTTGTTTATACATATATATATATATACAGGTATGTTTGGCTTCAGGCTTCAAACCTACTAGATACTGTACATGAATGGGTATTTATTAGCGCACTAGAGACGTTCCATTGAAAGGTATTTACTGATGTATGTTCCGAACATACTAGTTGCGGTTTGTTGACAATCCGCATCTAATTACTAGATAAAGCCATATCAAGCTTTTAGTGAGGTGTATCAGTTTCCGGTTTCCAAACCTAATGCAGATGGGGTTGCTTGTAGGCATTCGTGGCCGCCATGCAGAGGACATCACGGTTTCAGGCGCCACACCTTGCGCAGCTGCTTAAGGGGTACCTGCTCCTTTGAGTAGGACCCCCACAGAAACGGGTTTGGTACCTTTTGGACTTTTGGCATGTTGAATATTTTGAAGCACGCCCTCACCAAAAAACCATCCCAGGTGTCTGGACGATTTGACGTCAGGCCGCCCTCACCTGACGCGCAGATGATTCGCCTCACAGCGAATGCCCGGGGCTCAAGTCTGGTGAGGGGCTACAGTGCTGAGTGCAAGTGGATCTCAGTTGCCCAAGGCCGACCTTTTAACCTTTTGGTTTTCCAATTTTGGTCAAAAGGTTAACCTTTTATTCTTGGGTCCTTTGGGCGACTGAGGGATGGCACTTTTCTGCCATTTGGTTGATCCCCTTTATTCGCATACAGGGATCGACGGAACCCCCATCCCTTCATAAAAGTGTGGCAGAACCGGAAGCGGGTGGCCCAACCGTGTCCCTGACACTCCACCTATTCCCATGTGGACACTTCGGGTGTTAAGGGTTCGCTTCAACCCGCAGAGAAACAAATTGACAAAGCCAAGGGGTTCGCCTCCCCAAATGAAATAAAAACCACTTGTCTTGGGGCCCTCAACCCCTGCAGCTGGGGTCCTGAAATCCGAATCCCCTTGGCCCCTTCAACGAGGATTCGCAGGAGCTGCCTTCTGAGACGGTGCTGCTGCCAGGCCCGGCCCATGCGAGCGTGCGAGCGCGGGACGCTTGAAACGCCAAAGCGGAAAACCACAAATTTTGGCTTTCTGCAGCGGTTAGCATTTCCATTGGTTGCCACCTCAATTTCCTTGCTGGTTGGTTTCCTTTGTTCGGGAATTTGAGGTTCATTCCATGTCTCATTCCCTACTGAGCACCGGCAAGCTTGTGGAGTCCCCCCCCCCCATTTTGAGACATGCCTCCAATTTCAGTGATTTTTACGCATGGACATGGGGGTAGGTGTTGGACCACCAAAAAAGATTTCGGCTTTGCTCTTGGTTTCCCTTTAAGCCAACCTGAATAGGCACAAGGTATATTGATCTCTCTATATATATATACTGATACATATATATATATACACGCATGTATACATACCCTCCAAAAACTCCTGGCACTCTTCAAACAACGATTTAGGTCTGACTCTTTTAGCGGATGCCTCAATTCAATTTTTGGAATTGTTGTAAAACAAATGCAAATTTGGATGCTCAAGTGACAATTCCATCACTTGCACTCGTTCAGCTCTCCTTTGCCAATCATCGAGGGGGAATCCACTGGGGCGACCAACGCAACGCGATCCCTAGATGTCTGGGATGTCAAGTGCTTATAATTTCCTTAAAGGGGAGCCGCTGCTCATCAATCAGGAGAGGTTGATCAATCCGAAGTAAGCATTCCGATTTGAAGTAAACACATGCTCACATACGGACGTGCCCTTTCGCGGAGAGGGTAATTCCCACGTTTGGTCAAACTAGGCAGCCCATTGTGCACGTGAAAGGGACATCTGGGCACTCACGGATTTCCCCATGTCCTTGATGGGAACCGCTAACATTCTGGCTGTTGCATGCTGTTGCTCATGCGGAGCTGAGGTGGGAGGTAGTACTCTAGGGGTAACTTCCCCATTCTTTCCAGGGATCCTTCTTTCTAGAAAACCACCAAAAACCCTGGGGAAATGACTCGTTTTTGAAAAGAACCATGGTTGAAAAGAATGGAAAAGGAATCAACCCCTAGAAGTACGGCCTCAAATGGCCCCATCCAGCTTCAGACTTTTTGGACGCCCCAGGGCTGGGATTTCTTCGTTCAATCGAACGCGCATGGACATTGGCCCTGCCTTCCCAGCTTCACACTCACTCGCATGTGTATCAAACTCGTGACATGTTGCCAAAAGGGTCACGACAGAGGCCAACCTTCAAAATTTTAGCACATGGTTTGCCTTTTCCACTGTTTGTGGGATAAATAAGCAGCCCCCCCTGGTAGTGTAGAAATCCGTTTCAAGGGAGGCTGTTCATTTCGGTCGAAGAGGCAAACCCTGTTAGCATTCTCTGCTAATTCAGGTGCCAACCAGAAAATTTGGTGGAAGGTGGGCCGAGGCTGAAGGCATCGGAGGTACCGGTGGTGCATCGGTCCTGTTTGACCCGTTTATTTTTATTTTTGCAGTGTTTACGGTTGCTTAGCATGGCCGTGCCGGCCGTATCATAAAATACCCGTGCAGATTTAAGAATACGGATGATTCGCTTGCGCCGCGGGTTTAGCTTACTCCAAGTGGTTTGGTCGGCCGGGTCTTTGTAAGCACCCAGAGCTTCATATCAGAGTCGCCAACACAAGCTCACAGCGCAGATGGCTGCACCAGATTGCCATTCGCTTGCAGGCAACAGGTGTGCCTGATTGCATCCCGCCCGGATTTCATTTGTGCTGTGCTTTGTAATGGGGTACCTTTTTTTGAGGCGTTTCACTTGCACAGCTTTGCCCACACCCCCCTCTCCACCCCCGACCTGCAAGAAATACAAGGCCATGTGGTTTGGAGGATTCTAATTGCCTGACAATCAGCCAACCTGGAATGCAAGGATCCCATCATATGTGGGCTATGTGGGGTCTTCGGTGATGCTCAATGAGAGCAGAGGCTTTGTTTTTGCCCGAGGTGCCACTGATTGCTTCATTCACGGCTTGGATGGTCTCGTTTTCGAGCGCCGGTTTGGTGCTCTCGTGCATGCAAAGCCAGAAAACGGCGCACCCTCTTCCCAGGTCCGAGCACCTCGGGATGTACCTGGAGTCTCCATGACCTTCAAAAAAAGGGGTCATGACCCAAAAGTAAGGGGTCATGGACCCATTTTTTAAGGGTCATGGAGACTCTAGGTACTTTGACATTGACCCATTTTGATCCCCTGAAGTATGCCCTTGGGTACCCAGAGCGCGTTTTGGAATTTTGGACCCCTCTGGCGTGAGTTGCGAAGCTGGAAATCGCGAGGCGAGTCGGTGCATGAGCCAGACCTCGCGTCCTTCTTCGAGGAGGCCGCAGCCGGCAGGGACGCGTTTCCCAAAGTGCCCCCCAAATCTGTGGAGGTGGTTTAGTTCATGCAGCCTCCGCAAAAGAGGTGCATAGATCCTCCGCAAAATTGCAACTTCCAGCAAACTACTTTTCTCACGGCAGGAGAACTGAACATTTGGCCGATTCCGTAGGCACCCTTTGCGCGTAAACATGCAAGTAGTGCATAGCACCCGAACCACAAAACAAACAACTGCCCGTCATGTACAAATATTTGCAGTCCAAAAAGCAGTCGTTTGGGGCGGGGTTCTGACGCAGCAGTTGCCTTGGCTTCAGGTGCCATTGATGCCGCCCGCCTCCTTCTTCGACGACCAGGAGCTGGAACGCCTGAAGAGCCAGGCACCAGGAATCGACTTCGGAACCCACCGAAAATCCCAGATACGTTCTGGAGTGTTCTTTGGGGACCTGGTTTTGGGAGCAATTGGAAGGGGGGGTCGTCCCTGCACGTGGAGTCTGGGTCGAGCTTGCCCGCGTGATGTTGAACGTGTGTGTAGGCGCGGAGGATCCCAAGCAGTGGGCGCAGATGAGCCTGGAAAACATCGAAATTCGAGGTCCAGTAGTGCTGGGTAGTATTGTGTGTGTCTTATGTAGGCTGCGGCTGACCCCAAATGCGTGGGCGCGGATGGCTCTGGGGCCTTTTGGGGGTATCATGACCGTATGTAGCGCGAGTCATCTTTGTGGGCGCGGATGACCCTGTGGAGGACCGGGCTGTGGGTGCTTGTAGAAGTAGGTAGAAGTAAGTAGAAGTAGGTAGGAGTAGGTAGTAGTAGGTAGTAGTAGTAGCAGCAGTAGCAGCAGCAGCAGTAGTAGTAGGTAGTAGTAGGTAGTAGTAGGTAGTAGTAAGTAGTAGTAGGTAGTAGTAGGTAGTAGTAGGTAGTAGTAGGTAGTACTAGTGGTAGGTAGTAGGTAGTAGGTAGTAGGTAGTAGGTAGTAGGTAGTAGGTAGTAGGTAGTAGGTAGTAGGTAGTGGTAGTAGTAGTAGTAGTAGTAGTAGTAGTGGTAGTAGTAGTAGTAGTAGTAGTAGTAGTAGTAGTAGTTTCCAGCTCTGTAGCTTGAAAATTGCAACCTTGAGGTACGGAAAAAAGAGCTGCGCATGGCTCTCCCGCATCTGGAGCTTGGAACGTGCAACTTTTGAGTACGAAAGCAGTATGCAGAGTATGCTCTCGTAGTTGCAGCTCGAATCTCGAACTTGGCAATCAAACTTTTGGTTGCATGAGCTCGACTGAAGCCCTCACCTAGCTCCGGCTCGCAAGTCACAATGCCTCAGTGTAGAAGTAGGGCGAAATGTGCGCCACGAAAGTTTCTTGTCGAACATGGCACTTTGGAATACTTTGTACGAAAGTACCCATCATCTCATGTGTTTATGTTGCTTGTGCTTTCCATGGATTTTGTATGTGTCAGCAAAAACAGTTCATTCTTCGCAGGGACGCGTTGTCTGGGTCATTTTCATTTCAGTACTCACCCCCGACAACATGGCCTTTTGCTGGGATTCCTCAGGTGGTTTTTAAATGTGCTCTGGGAAAAGGAGGTTCACCTGCTCATGACTTGGATGCAGCGGAAGTGGTGTAATTACTACTTCAAGCCAAGTGCCGCGAAACAAGCAGTATACAAAAAACAACGGGTGCTTGTGAATTTCCACCGATGTCTACTTCAGAAAAAGGGGGCGTAGACAAACCCTAGACAACCTGTAGACAACCCACAGAAAGGACGGTTCTTTCCGTAGAACGCACAGTTTTTGGCATAGAACGCACGTTTTTTTGGGGTAGAAAGGACATTTCCTGGGACCCCCCCGGGAGAACAACATTGACACGGGAATTGTTCCACGCGCCCCGCGCCGTGATTTCAACATCAGTGGCAACGAACATCAACAGCTTGATCTCATGTCTTACTTATGTTAGTCAGTCAGGAAAGGAAGTGTGTGAAAAGCAGTGCTCAGTACGCACACGGCCGAAAAGCCGAAAAGGGTTCCAAAAGGGGTAAAAGGGCATTCTCCCAAAAACACGCTTTGTAAACCCAAAAGTGTGCTTTGGACCGCATAAATGTGCATTATCACAAAGGACCTTGTTTTTAAATGTGCTTTGGAATTTGAGGGCTTCGTCATGGTGATGCAGTCGACCACGTACGTTCTCGTCCCCACCCCACCGCCTTCCGCGCGGAAGACCTTTTAAATGTGGCCGATGATGACTCCGCGGAGAAACGGGTCACTCATCCTGTGGGCGCGGATGACCCCCCTTCCGTTGCGGGATCCGTTGCAATTTGACAACCTGAGACTTTGAGGAGCCCCTTTGCCGCGTGGTTGCTTTTCAGCAAACCCAGCTTCGCCGAGCTTAGTCAAATGCTAACAGTGTCCCGAAAGAACATTGCCTGTTCTAGAACAAAGGGCCTGGACCATAGCACTGAGTTGTGCAAGTGAGGCACAGCTGGATATTACGGGGTCAGGCATGGAGCTTCATGTTCTGCGCACATGCGAACGGATGCCGGATGCGGATTGTCGAAACAATGCACCAAGCCGCATCCAACACGGGAGCCATCACTGTCACCACGGGGTCGGCTTGAGGCAAAGATGCGACTTACTCGGACTGGCTCTTTCCTGCGCACCCGTGTTTGTGTTGATGAAAAAAAAGAAGCCAAAAAAGTGGAACCATTGGGGCTCTCCCATTTGGAGAGATAAATATCAAAGCTACAGACTTGTGGCCTGCCGCGGAAGTCCGACTACCCCTGCTTTGGTGGTTCTTGCCATTCTGTCTTCCATTATGCCGTGGGTGGCCGAATTGCTGCATGAGTAGGTAAGTGGTTTATCCCAGGTTTGAGAGGGTTCCATCTATCTCAGTTGGAGGCTTTTGGCCACGGGAATATGATAGTGGCCACTGGCCCTTGCAGGGAAGGCCTTTGTCTCATTCATGCCCTGACGGAGTCACACGCGCAGGCAGTCGCTGAGGCGACCGCGTTGCTGGCTTGGCTCACAGGGGCAGGCGCGCGGCGCGGCCGTCTACTCGTACTGGGCTTCAGGCAATTTTTTCAGCGGAGGCCCCCCCCCCGTTTCTACTGATGAGAGGTGTGGGGGAAATCCGGGTCAATAGGCCCCACTCCAACCCTTGCCTGGGATGTGTTCAATGTCACCTTGGCTGACTTTATTCTTGGCAAGCTTAGCTTGAGCCCCTCTACAAATTGAGCGGGCTTTGCCCTGTACATCTTCAGAAATCGTTTGCATGTGTTTTTGCATTGGTGCAATGTTGCACTTGGGCCCAATTGAACTTGCTGTGACAACTGCAATTTAGAGGACCTTGCACGGAGCTTCTGCCCTTAACATCCTGCTGGGGACAGGGGTCGTTGAGAATGTGTTTGTTGGGGGGAATGCAATGGACAAATCTCTTGTGAAAAGTGCGATCCAGCTTGGATCCAGGGAATAAGGAGAATTTAGCCATGTCGCACTCGTTAAGAACCGCTACTTGGATTGATTGTCACTGTCACGAGCCTGGGGCTAGCATGGCTAGCATAGGACAGCCAGGCGACCAGCACCAGGCCAAGCGTCTGTGACTCCTCCCGGGCGTAGGAAGCCTTTGGATGGACAAACGCATGCTCTCATAGGCTGAATTCGTCCATATCCGTTGACCCCTTCTCAGAAGAGGAGGCGCCTGCAAAGGGTGGAACGTGAAAATGGGTTGCTTGCCACTCATGAAACGTCACGTAAACGGCACATGTGTTTAGGCCCAGGCCGGGGGCACACTCGCGGCGACGGAGTGGCCTGAGCCGTGGTCCAGGTTGGCGGCGTGCGGCTGGACCACGGCCAGGCTTGGCCCTGGTTTCGGCTGGTAAAGCGCTGGGGGGCATTGCGCTTCTCGGACACGCAGGGAATGCCTTTCGGCAAGTTGGAGATGAGCGGGACCAAGACCACCGGGGCGGGAAAGAAGGTCGAGGTCCAGCACGTTTTCATCTCGGTGGAGGCATGGCTGGAGGAGCCCAGGTGGCTTGGGGTGGGCTACCAGCTGTGGAAGTCCGTGAGCGAGGAGGCAAGTCTGTTCAACCAAGACTTCTTTCTGGCCTTGCCCAACTGCGAGGGCACCGGGCCATGGGCAAGTACTACCACGCGTCGCAGATGAGTCAGGCCTTGCTGGCCGAGCTCGTGATGAGCCAGCGGAAGCAGGAGGAGCTGGAAGGGGTCGGTCGGCCCGGAGGGGTTCTGCTCTGCCAGGGCGCGGGCACTGTTTGGTCAGAGCATTCCGAAAGACCTATGTCAGGTCCATCAGGGGCAACGTGGAGAAAGCACAGGGGATGATGGTCAAGGAGATCCGGAGCAACCTGACGGGCCCCGACAAGCTGGATGAGGAGTCCATCATGGAGAAGGTCGTGGAGAAGCTGGCGGCCCAAGAGATGGACCCCAACGATGTGGAGGACCAGAAGCTGAGGCTAACCAGCTTCCAGGGAGGCATCTTCGCTAGTATCCTCGGGAAGGACTGCTGGCGGGCGATGGAGCGGGACCCGTTGGAGGTGGTCGAGGTGGAAGACGGTAACGAGGGGGGGGCAAGAAGGACGAGACCGCCAGTGAGCCAGCCCGACCCTGGAGGGTGGACGTCAAGCTGGCTTCTCTGGGATGCGAGGTAGCTCGGCGGGCTACCGACCTCCACTATAGGAGGATGGAGGCTGTGCTGGATGTTGTGGAGGACCCCGATCACCGGTTCCTCATCCTCCTGGTGGAAACGGGGGTGGATCTTGGAGTGGACGAGGAGATGCCCAAGGTGCCCGCGGTCTTCGAAGCCAAGGTGAAGTGGAATCTTGAAGAGGTGGAGGCCCCCTTTAAGGAGGTCTGGTGCGAGAACTACGGCTCTGCGGTGGACAACATGGAGGACATCCGGCGGCAGGTGGAGGAGGACCTCGAGAGGGGCCACGTGATCCGGATGGACAAGCAGGCGGCGATGCAAAAATTCGGAGGTAGACTGGCGGTGGCCTCTTTGGGGGCGGTCCCGAAAAAGTTGGGGTTGTCAAAGGTGAGGATCATTCACCACGAGGTGATGATTAACCACAGGATTCGGGTAAGGGATCGCATGAGGTTCCCGGGGGTGGATGACCTGGAGCAGATGAAGGCGGACCAAGCAGCAAACCAGGCGGTCAGGCTGCTCATGAAGTACGATGTCAGCCGGGCCCACAAGCTGGCACCCGTCAAGCAGCAGGACTGGCCGCTCATGGCCTTCAGCTTGCAGACTGGCGCACTACATGTCTGCTGGCACTTACGAGCTCTATCACCTGCTATTCGCGGACGATGGGCTCCTGGGGGCCCACGGTGCGGACTGCTGGAGGAGGATCCTCTACTGGTTCTTCGTGATGGACGTGGTAGAGGTGCCGATCACCTGGAAGAAGGTTGCCGGAGGAGCCAGGCTGGGTTGGATCGGCTACGAGGCGGACATTCAGCGCTATCTCAAGGGCATAGGAGACAGCAAGGTGGCGTGGGTCCTCGGTTGGATAAAGGAGGTCAAGGACGAGCGCAGCATCTTGGGCAGCCGGATGAGATCGGCGCTGGGACGGCTCTCGTTCGTGGCAGGCGCGGGGAGATCTGGTGCTGGTCGGAGGATGCGAGTCCTTCGGGGGCCGCTCAACCTTTGATGCCAGGTGGTTCTCCTTGAAGCTGACCCGGAAGACAGCCCCGTGGGCCTACGTGAAGGGCGAGCCGTTCCGCGTGATAGCCAGCCTGGAGCTGATCGCGACCAGCGTAGCCGTCTGCATCGTCGGGCCAGGATCGCAGTGGAGAGATTCGTTGGGCGAGCTCGTGGTGCAGGGGTTCGGTGAACCCTGGTCAACACGCACGTCATCGATCACTACATGAGCACGGCGTTCCCACTCTCGGTGGTGCTGATGGAGTTGGCGGTTCAGCTGGGTGACCTGGGCACGACCCTGCAGCTTGGGTGGACACCCCGGGAGCAGAACGAGGAAGCGGACGCGCTCACCAACTTGGACTTTACCCTCTTCAACCCGGACCTGAGGGTGCAGTTGCAGCTGGACGAGTTGGGCTTCAAGGTGATTCCAAAGATCATGGAGGCGGCCATGCAGCTGGACGCAGAGATCAGGCTCGAGAAGGACAAGAAGAAGAAGGTTCAGGAGCACTCCAGCAAGAACGCGGCCAAGAAGCCCAAGAAGGCGGAGATGAGATGGAAGGAACCATGGTGAGGCCGGGGGGACAAAGAAATAAAAGGGAGGGTTTCGAGAGAGGTTTCTCTCAAGCTGGCAAGCAATAGGAGGCTTGCCAGCCATGGGCAGGCTGCCACGCTCTGGTGCAGTGGCAGCGGGCTCCGCTTTAAGGAAAGCCTGCGGAAGGGGAAATCCTCCCTGGAACGATTTGGTTGGCCTGCCCCATCCACTGACCATGGATGGAGGGGCAGGCCCAACATACCAGGATGCGCACCCCCCATGGATGAATCAAAGGTGTGTTGGGTGGGAGGGCTGGGGGAAACACACAAATGAGTGAAGTGACGTGAAAATGGGTTGCTTGCCACTCATGAAACGTCACGTAAACTGTGTTTAGGCTCAGGCCTGTTTTGAGCACCTCCCCTTGGCGCCCCCTGACAGGTTTGCAGATGCGCACATGGCCGTTTTCACCGTATCTTTTTCGCTTCCGGGGGAAATCCTCCCCTGGAACGATTTGGTTGGCCTGCCCCATCCACTGACCATGGATGGAGGCCCAACATACCAGGATGCGCATCCCCCATGGATGAATCAAAGGTGTGCTGGGTGGGAGGGCTGGGGGAAACACACAAATGAGTGAAGTGACATGTGGAACAGGAACCTTTTTCGTATACATACCATCTGGGTTCCATGAGCTTAAAGGAGTCCTCATGGCTACACGCATTTATGCACCCGCAACATGTTAGGTCACATTTTGATTTGAAACTTTCGATACTTCGAGTCGCATATTTTGGCACAGGCGGATCAATGGCTACAGGAAAGCGTTCCAGTCACCACCCCATGCTCTTGCGGGCCCTGGCTTCGAACACAAATCTTGCTGGCACGGTAGGTTCCTCCAGAAGCCTTCCCGAGCAAGAGGTCTTCTTGCAGCAGCAGCAGGCACGGGAGTTGCCAGAGATAGCCATTCAGGAGAATCCCAACGACTGCTATGGATGTCTGGGAAAAGCGACCGTTTTCGTAACCATGCAACTTGCTTCAAGAAGTGTTTGTTTTTCCTCAGTGAAAGGAAATGTACGCTTCTTGAAATTGCGCCCTTTTTGCGGGGAATTGGGCCCGCGGCCTAAGGCCAGAATCTCGCTGTTTCACACATTTTATGCCCTCAGACCCCCCAAAATTACGCGTTTCCACACAAGCATGCGTTTGCTCAATAAGCTCAGTGAAATCCCCAACAGCATGCGGTGCTCTTTTTAGTGCTCGCACCACCCAGCAGCCCTCGCAGAACCTCGTGGAACCCTCGTGGAACCTTGCCTCAGGGCCGCCCCGGACCACCCCGAAGCCTATCTGGGCTGAGACCCCAAAGCTTTCAGCTGTTGGGGGAAAAACCCGCTTCCAGCCAGATTGCCGAACGCCCACAGGAACGATGACCTTCAACAGGGATGTGCATGCAGATGACCTGTTGTAGACTGAATGCTTTGCCCATTTCGACTCTTCGGGAACGCTTGTGCCAGACATACAGCATCATTGAGACGGGACAATGGAGCAGCACTAGGTGTCAGAAGATCCCAGGCAAAACAAAAGAAGCTTGGCCGATGTCGTCCGTTTTCAGACCATGACACTCATAGCAAAGGCCTGCAAGTATTTGCCATGCAAACAAATTTGCAGTCGAGCGCCCAAAACACCATTGCGCCATGGTTTGGATATGACGCTGGTCACCGCAGCCATGGGTTTGCGCTTCACTCACATGCCGTCGGTGGCACGCTTGCTTGCTTTGTGCACCCTAGCGGTCGGGTGGCTCAGAACTGGGCGGGACCCACAGGGCGGGGTTTCGGCAGGGGTCCCTTGAAAATTGGCCACGGTTCAAAACCAATGGGATCCCATTTTGGGATAGGTGCACCACCCAGTTTAGAACCCATTATAGTTGGGATTGGGATGTTCACTGGGGGTACAGGGTTTTGACCCATGGCCAATTAACCTTTTCCAAGGCGAAAAGTAGGCGCCTGCACACGTTCCCAAAAAGAGTGGCGGACCCCTGTAGGTTATCAGGCAAGGCGGCAAGGCGCAAAGCATTTAGATGGGGTTGGCGGGACTCGTCTCATGGCCTGCGGCAGGGATTCAGCTTGTTGTCATGAGAAGGTTGGGGCAACTGCTTCTACTAGTTTTCAATGGTTGCTGTCTAAACCATAAAGTCAAGCTTGTCTCAGAGTTTCTGGTGTGGGGTTTCTCGCTTCGTAGCATAGACCCGTTCAATCGCACCTTGTGAACAGTGGCGCCCGGCGCCCTATGCCCCCAACGGGGCCAAAGGCGAAAGAGGCCAAAGGACAGCAACATGGTCGAATGTGACCGAAGGATGGCCTCCAACCAACCAGGGTGCCAGAAGTTTTGACCCAGGTGAGTGTAAGAAATCTAATTGCTTGGGTTCCTTTTCCCTGCTCCCCCTTCCCCGCCTTGTTCCAGAGCTTTGTGGACCCCCTTGGCCTTTGGCCTTTCAGCCGTCGACTCCAGGTGGCCCAGCCACCGCAGACGGGCTGCGTCGATGATTGCCTGGCGGAGGCATTGGCCGACGACCCTACCCGGGGCTGCCTTCCAGGACTTTCCTTGGGCCCCGAAGGCCTCGGGTTCCAATCGCTTGCGAGAGGTCCTTTCAAGGAATCCATTAGCCCAGGGTAAGGTCCAAGCCCGCGCGACGCAAATCATTGAGCGGGAAGTGCGAGGAGAATACTGGAAGCCCTACCCTCCAACCAGCCCGGTGAGTTCATGCCAGCCTTGCCCAGCGGGATGGTACTGCACTGGAACCTCGGCTTCTATTGTTTTCATGCTGGACCAACGAGTGACAAGAGGACTGGCGCTGTGTCTCATGTGATAAACGACACCCACAGAAGAAACAAGTGTTTCTGAGTTGGCAAGGTGATGCCGCAAATCAGCAAAAAGGGACGCCACTGCCTTTTGGCCCACAATCATTTTTCGGGCTTCGTGATGTATGGAAGGGTGTGTTTTTAAACACAGGTGCGTTCCCTAATGCATTTTTCTGTGAGGTACAAAGCAAGTCATGGCTGTGGCAGCCCCAGGTTTTCCCTGTCATCCCGGCAAAACCGAGTATTTGGGAGCCGGGTTCCACCCACAAAAAGCCGCCAAGTGAAGGGCAGAAAGCGGCGAGAACCGAGGCATCGTCTATGGCAATTTCTCGGACTACCCGGTGAACCTGAACCGCCGCACCCCTTGCCCACCCGGAACCTTCAGGACTCATGGCTTGATGCCAGTTGTTAGGGCAAGAACCAAACCAAACACAGACCCCCAGTGGTTCCCTTTGTGTTGGAGAGATAACCCAATTGAAACTCAAGTACCAAAAGAACAGCCGCGCGACGCACGGTGCAGTCGTTTGGGCCCGCCATGGAAATGAGCACCAGTATTGTTGGTTGCTGTGGCTGTTCTGCAGCCAACGTTTGACATCTAGCGCACCAGTCTTCCCTGCCACTGGGTTTTTCCCCATGCCATATGTGCTTTTCTCTCCACGTCCTGGCCTTGAGCCTACGCATTGCTGCAAACCTTTGACCCGGTTGGGATTGGATGGTCTCCTTCGTGTCAGTTTGCTTACTATCAGCATTTGCCCCGCGGCTGTGTGACTGCACTTTGGCCCGAGTGGTGCTGATGGTTTGGGTACACGTTATTTGAGCGCTTGACTGTGCGTGCCTGGAATTTTCGGGCGTGCTGCATTTTGAGGATGTTTCACACTCCTGCAAGGAGGAGTGGCGCTGTTGTATGAACATGTGCGAGTAGTGTTTGGCCAAGAGCTTCGCAAACGCATTGGGAGGCAGAGTCTTCGTCAAGGCGCCGTCAACCACCAAAATCAGGTGCCCTTTTCCCATGGCTGGGGCTCAGAGAAGCAAAGCAAAAAAGACAAGAAGCAGAGGGCAAAAGCGAAGGCAGCCAACTGGAGCAGAGGAGCGTCGGACCCAGGCCACCTCAGGTGGGTCGTTGGTTGGCAGCTGGGCATCTTTCCGACACCATCCGACACCAAACACGCAGAGCCCCGTGACTCGCACGATGGAAAGCTTCTACATCATATACCCAGGTCTTCCATTTGGTCACTGTTGAGGGCTTTGGGCATTTCTTGCTTCCACTCATTTCCTGCCGATGTAGCGGAAAATTGCGGACATACACCAGAGCAATTGTCCAATTGAGCGATTGTTTTCTCATTGAGCGTTGTTGAGTGATGTGTGTTTGTTCAAAACGGACAAATGCAAGTATACATACCCACAAAACATACCTGTCGCCCACAAGGTCTTATTATGCTGTATGATCGTGCTGGCAGGTTCTGGGTTAAGTTTAGGGTTTTTAGGGTTTAGGTTTAAGGTTTCTAGGGCTTAGGTTTAGGGTTTTTAGGGTTTAGGTTTAAGGTGTGTAAGGTTTAGGTTTAGGGTTGTTAGGGTTTAGGTTTTGGGGTTGTAGGGTTTAGTTTAGGGTGTTCAGGTTTTTTAGGGTTTTCAAGGCTTGTTTCTAGGTTTAGGGTTTTAGGTTTTTTAGGGTTTAGGTTTAGGGTTTTTAGGGTTCAGGTTTTGGGGTTCTAGGGTTTCTAGATTTACATCCGAGGCTGGCTTTTCTGGTTTAGGTTAAGGGTTGTGTTGATGATAGCAGTATATAACCACGCCGCGCTCCATGAAGGGGGTATGGAGCATGCAGCTGGGGTGGGGCCCGGGGGGCTCGGAAGTGCGTTTTTGCTGCGCCTGCCACGCATGTTGAACGTCTCGGGGACCCGCTTCCGCGCGGTCACGGGCAACACATACGTTTTGGCCGATAAATATATAGCAGGGGCCAGTTGCCCACTGGCACTTGCTTCTTTTGTTTTTGGTGTGGGATGGAAGGGTCACGCTGGATCTCCCTTCCAGATCAACTTGCAGAAGGCCGAGGGGCATTCTTCATTGGCCAAGTGATGTTTTTGTATGCGCCGGAGCCCGCAACACAGAGGCAGCGCAGTTGTGGCCTCAAATTTCACGGGATTCACTTTATCTTCCCCCCCCTTCCCCGGCGCTACCTTCTTGAAGCAACGGGTGCTGATCTGTTTCCCACTCAACTCCACTTGGGATGGTTCCTATCAATACTGTGGATGGACGGAATCCTGCACCACCTAAGAAACCCTGGCATGATGATTCGCCTGTGAAAACACACAAACAACGGTTTCAACCATGGTTTCCAAGTGGTGCGAAATGGATTTTGTCCACCCACACTATGCCATGACAATCTTCCCTCGCGGGCCCTTCCTCCTTCTCGCAGCCGCCGCGCCCAAAGCGCAGCTCTTCCCCGGCTGCTCCGCTTCCTACCGTGAACCCTCGCGCCGTTTCAGATAATTGTTTTGCGCGAGACGCGAGAGGCTTGCACATTGCAATCTGTTTAAGCCTTGCCGCCGTTCTAGTCCTCGAGAGCTTTGACATCCCTTTCCTGGTTTCCTTTAAATCAGGCCTGAAGGCCGCCGTATTAACGGGGCAAACAGGGCTTTTTGGGGTTGGAGTTTTGATTCTCAACCTGGCGCCAGGAATGTGACGAGCGGGGTGAATTTGAGCGACTGCGAATTTTGCTCTCCTGGATACTTCAGCGAGGTGGAAGCATCCACGGCCTGCAACATGGCTCTATTGGGCGAATTAGTTTGGGAGCTTTGGAGGTTAAACATCGCTCCCCTGATGCGGGCTCTTTACTTGGGGATTTGGCCCTTTTTGAAATATGCAAAGTTGCCCAGATGGATGAGCTGGGACATGAGTGAGCACTTGGGAACTCCGGGGGCTGTGCTCTAATCCCCAATTCAAAACAAAACTGCAGAGGACGGCCACATGCATTGAGGAGCTGGTCGGTTTCAGATGTTCCCACTTTTTCGCAGCGGCAAAAGACATGATGCCAAGAGCGGGCCCCTGGCTTCGGCTGGATTTGGCTTTGTCGTCTCACTTTCCAAG